GGTGGAGCGCCCAACCAATGTTACACCTTATATAGAGGATAGGGATTAGATACTTTTTGGTCCGGACAGCTGTTTTAGATTCTTTTTGTATTAGGGAAATAAACCTTTTTGAATTTAACTTTCTGAATCATGGTCATCTTTATAAGGGATTTTGAACACGTCATTTTTTTAATATAATAGTACATACATTAAGGTCAATATCAGATAAAACAGAAAATAAATTCCAAAATAGAATAGATAAAAGCTAGTTCCTTTAGGGTCCGTGTACTTTTGCGTTCTCTATTTTAGAAAGGAAATGGAAAATCAAAAAAAGGCTATTTTGCATTTTCAGGCACACAGCAATATACAAAAATGACCATTGTGGTTTTTTTCATTGCTTATAAGACGTATATATTATAATAAATATTTGGGAACTAGTAAATGAAATAATTAACCTTTTTTCAAGTGTATTTAATACATTTCAGTGTCAATTGATTACCCGGAAGTGAAACAAGTTTGTTTACTTCAGACCTATGGGCTCTATGCACCACTTCCGTGTTTTAGCTAAAGCCACACCTCACTTCCTGTTCGCGGGGAACAGCTTGAGTTTCACTGGAGTTCAGCAGTGGTTTACACGAGTTTCCCAAATAACGCTCAAACGGGAATTAAACTATGAGCATACTGGGCATTTCTGGGACACAGCAGTGCTCTCCGATTGTGCTGTCATTGTGTTTTTATGAAGTTTAAAAATCTCTGGCCACAGTCACAGCTCTACCTCAGAGAGGAAGCACAGCGACACTTTTGGGTCAGTCTCAGCTGAATGTATCGATCTAATTACTAAAAAACGTCACTGAAACTCACCTAAAAGCCACAGAATAGCACAGGCAGGAAGTGAACGAGCTGTGTTTTGTAAACAGGAAATGACGTCACGCCTCCCCGTGCAAACAGCTCATTCGCTCTAATTTCGTATAATTAAATACGCAAATGACCTCCTGTATTTGTCCAGACACAGATGTCCTCTGATAATACTAATCCCGTGAGAATCTGCATGTCAGTGATCGCTATTGCCCCTTTTGCTTTACTTTTTGCGTTGTTTTTGTGAATGAGCAGAGGAGTTGCGGCTGTGTACACAGCTGCAGAGTCCTGCTGCTGTCTCTGAGGTCTGTGGAGAAGTGTAGAGCACAGTGTGTCACTGACACTGATCAGACCCATGGGTTGGATTTGTACGTTTACTCTGCTCTCTGTCCTAAACTTACAGACGCGTTACTTTTTTTCAGCTCGTACTTACAGTATCTTAGTGGTGCGTTCACGAGTAGTTCATACAAACTATTAAAAAACATTACAGACAGTATGGGCAGAGAGCTGTAGAGCAGTAAAATGTTTGTCGCGCACGTGCTGCTGTTGTGTGAGATGTGAAAATAGACGTCCTCCGTGATTATCACACATTATTATATTATATTTATTATATGACTTGGACCGTACGCACGCTACGATTGGCTGATTACCGGTCTGATATTTTCCCATCTCAGACCGTTACCATGACAATCTGTCCGCAGCGCGTATCACACAAAACCAAGTCTCTCAAAAGCGTTGGTAAAGACACAGACGAGAGTCATATAATAAAACATTTATTAACCTCGCCACGGCTCGGGCTGTACATTAAGGCTCAGTCTGTACATTAAGGCTCGGTCTGTGCATTAAGGCTCGGTCTGTGCATTAAGGCTCAGTCTGTGCATTAAGGCTCGGTCTGTGCATTAAGGCTCAGTCTGTGCATTAAGGCTCAGTCTGTACATTAAGGCTCAGTCTGTACATTAAGGCTCGGTCTGTGCATTAAGGCTCGGTCTGTACATTAAGGCTCAGTCTGTACATTAAGGCTCAGTCTGTACATTAAGGCTCGGTCTGTACATTAAGGCTCGGTCTGTACATTAAGGCTCGGTCTGTACATTAATGCTCGGTCTGTGCATTAAGGCTCGGTCTGTACATTAAGGCTCGGTCTGTACATTAAGGCTCGGTCTGTACATTAAGGCTCGGTCTGTACATTAAGGCTCGGTCTGTACATTAAGGCTCGGTCTGTGCATTAAGGCTCGGTCTGTGCATTAAGGCTCGGTCTGTGCATTAAGGCTCGGTCTGTACATTAAGGCTCAGTCTGTACATTAAGGCTCGGTCTGTACATTAAGGCTCGGTCTGTGCATTAAGGCTCGGTCTGTACATTAAGGCTCGGTCTGTACATTAAGGCTCGGTCTGTACATTAAGGCTCGGTCTGTACATTAAGGCTCGGTCTGTACATTAAGGCTCAGTCTGTGCATTAAGGCTCGGTCTGTACATTAAGGCTCGGTCTGTACATTAAGGCTCGGTCTGTGCATTAAGGCTCGGTCTGTACATTAAGGCTCAGTCTGTACATTAAGGCTCGGTCTGTACATTAAGGCTCGGTCTGTGCATTAAGGCTCGGTCTGTACATTAAGGCTCGGTCTGTACATTAAGGCTCGGTCTGTACATTAAGGCTCGGTCTGTACATTAAGGCTCTGTCTGTACATTAAGGCTCGGTCTGTACATTAAGGCTTGGTCTGTGCATTAATGCTCGGTCTGTGCATTAAGGCTCGGTCTGTGCATTAAGGCTCGGTCTGTACATTAAGGCTCAGTCTGTACATTAAGGCTCGGTCTGTACATTAAGGCTCGGTCTGTACATTAAGGCTCGGTCTGTACATTAAGGCTCGGTCTGTATATTAAGGCTCGGTCTGTGCATTAAGGCTCGGTCTGTACATTAAGGCTCGGTCTGTATATTAAGGCTCGGTCTGTACATTAAGGCTTGGTCTGTACATTAAGGCTCGGTCTGTACATTAAGGCTCGGTCTGTACATTAAGGCTCAGTCTGTACATTAAGGCTCGGTCTGTACATTAAGGCTCGGTCTGTACATTAAGGCTCGGTCTGTGCATTAAGGCTCGGTCTGTGCATTAATGCTCGGTCTGTACATTAAGGCTCGGTCTGTGCATTAAGGCTCGGTCTGTGCATTAAGGCTCGGTCTGTACATTAAGGCTCGGTCTGTGCATTAAGGCTCGGTCTGTGCATTAAGGCTCGGTCTGTGCATTAAGGCTCGGTCTGTGCATTAAGGCTTGGTCTGTACATTAAGGCTCGGTCTGTACATTAAGGCTCGGTCTGTACATTAAGGCTCGGTCTGTGCATTAAGGCTCAGTCTGTACATTAAGGCTCGGTCTGTACATTAAGGCTCGGTCTGTACATTAAGGCTCGGTCTGTATATTAAGGCTCGGTCTGTACATTAAGGCTCGGTCTGTGCATTAAGGCTCGGTCTGTGCATTAATGCTCGGTCTGTACATTAAGGCTCGGTCTGTGCATTAAGGCTCGGTCTGTACATTAAGGCTCAGTCTGTACATTAAGGCTCGGTCTGTACATTAAGGCTCGGTCTGTGCATTAAGGCTCAGTCTGTACATTAAGGCTCGGTCTGTACATTAAGGCTCGGTCTGTACATTAAGGCTCGGTCTGTACATTAATGCTCGGTCTGTGCATTAAGGCTCGGTCTGTACATTAATGCTCGGTCTGTGCATTAAGGCTCGGTCTGTACATTAAGGCTCGGTCTGTACATTAAGGCTCGGTCTGTACATTAAGGCTCGGTCTGTACATTAAGGCTCAGTCTGTACATTAAGGCTCGGTCTGTACATTAAGGCTCGGTCTGTACATTAAGGCTCGGTCTGTACATTAAGGCTCGGTCTGTGCATTAATGCTCGGTCTGTGCATTAAGGCTCGGTCTGTATATTAAGGCTCGGTCTGTGCATTAATGCTCGGTCTGTACGTTAATGCTCGGTCTGTACATTAAGGCTCGGTCTGTGCATTAAGGCTCGGTCTGTGCATTAAGGCTCGGTCTGTGCATTAATGCTCGGTCTGTACATTAAGGCTCGGTCTGTGCATTAATGCTCGGTCTGTACATTAAGGCTCGGTCTGTACATTAAGGCTCAGTCTGTACATTAAGGCTCGGTCTGTACATTAAGGCTCGGTCTGTGCATTAAGGCTCGGTCTGTACATTAAGGCTCTGTCTGTGCATTAAGGCTCGGTCTGTACATTAATGCTCGGTCTGTACATTAAGGCTCAGTCTGTACATTAAGGCTCGGTCTGTACATTAAGGCTCGGTCTGTACATTAAGGCTCGGTCTGTACATTAAGGCTCGGTCTGTACATTAAGGCTCGGTCTGTGCATTAAGGCTCGGTCTGTACATTAAGGCTCGGTCTGTGCATTAAGGCTCGGTCTGTACATTAAGGCTCTGTCTGTGCATTAAGGCTCGGTCTGTACATTAATGCTCGGTCTGTACATTAAGGCTCAGTCTGTACATTAAGGCTCGGTCTGTACATTAAGGCTCGGTCTGTACATTAAGGCTCGGTCTGTACATTAAGGCTCGGTCTGTACATTAAGGCTCGGTCTGTACATTAAGGCTCGGTCTGTACATTAAGGCTCAGTCTGTACATTAAGGCTCGGTCTGTGCATTAAGGCTCGGTCTGTACATTAAGGCTCGGTCTGTGCATTAAGGCCGCGGTCTGATATTTCTCCACACAGACCTCGCACTCGGTTAATAAGCCGTTAATATCAGGGGCCCACAGGTAATACCATGGATCTATAAGGGTAAGGGTAATACTAATCCCATGCGAGTCAGATGCGAGTAAACAAACTTGTTTCACTTCCGGGTAATCGATTGATGCCAAAATGTATTAAATGCATAATAAAAAAAGGTTAATTATTGCATTTTCTAGTTCCCAAATCCGGTTATTATAATATATATACGTCTTATAAGCAATGAAAAAAACCACAATGGTCATTTTTGTATATTGCTGTGTGCCTGAAAATACAAAATACTAAAATAGAGAACGCAAAAGTACACGGACCCTTTAGTTTGGATTGTGTGACAGTCGGTAAATCTTTAATCAAAGTCTAAAATATAAAAACCTCGATGGTGTTTTGTGAAAAGTAATAATAATAATAACTCGAAAGTATATTCTCTGATTGAGTATTTTCTATACCTGGACCAGGGAGGTGAGGATGCGGCAGAAGAGTCCGGACGTGTCGGACTGGATGGCGTCCTCCAGAGACTTCTTATAACCTGGACATTTATATTTACTATCAATGTGAGAGAACTGTAATACACAAGTACTACAAATACACACACACACACACACACACACATAGACACACACACACAGAGAAGGATGACACACACACACACACACAAAAGAAGGATGACACACACACACAGAAAGAACAAAGACAGAGGAGCGCACACACACAAAAGGAGAACACATAGACAGAAAGCACACACACACAGAGAGAAAGAACACACACACATAGACACACACACATAGACGCACAAGGAGCACACAAAAAGAAGAGAAGTGAAAAAATATAATATGACAATTCCCTCAGAAATTGTCATCTTTCTCACTTCTGGTGTGTATTGTTGTGTACTGTTGTGTGCTGCTGTGTGCTGCTGTGTTGTGTACTGCTGTGTGCTGTTGTGTGCTGCTGTGTGCTGTTGTGTGCTGCTGTGTTGTGTTGTGTTGTGTACTGCTGTGTTGTGTACCGTGCAGGTAGGCCTCGCTCATGGCCTGGATTTCTTCGTTGTTTCGAGTGACGAGGATCTCGATCAGAGCGTGTTCGTCTGTGCCTGCCCCCTGTAAACACACACACACGCACACACACACACACACACACACACACACACACACACACACACACACACACACACACACACACACACACACACACACACGCACACACGCACACACACACACACACACACACACGCACACACACCAAATACCATGTTTCCTAATGAGATAAACATGTTACAATAATAATATAATGATAATAATAATGGTTGGTTTTCTATAGCGCTTTTTTGGACACTCAAAGACGCTTCACATGTTTTTATTCTTTCACTCCAAAACAAGGTGGTGATAAATTACTACTGTAGCCACAGCTGCCCTGGGGCACACTGACAGAAGCGAGGCAACCAGTCTGTGCCATCGGCCCCTCCCACCACCACCAACCATTCACACACCAGACTCATTCTAATGTGGGGGAAGTGTCTTGCCTCAGGACACAACCACAGTTTGGGACTTTATAGCCGCCCCACTGCGGCACCTGCTGTACTCAGAGGTCTCCCATCACAGTACTAACCAGGCCCTGCACTGCTTAGCTTACGAAAGTCTGACAGGATGTGTCCTTCGCGCGCAGGTGCAGATCATAGACTGTAAATATAAACGGACAGAGTCACGCCTATCTCCGCCGTTCTAACTAATGGGCCAAAAAATGTGCTCTACCGAAGCTATCCAAAATGGCCGCGACTGGTCCCGCCCACAAGAAAATTGTGAAAAAACGCATCTGCGCATGCGTCAGCCGGAGCAGCTCCATTCATTTAAACGAGAGACTTCAGAAATTCATAGCGAGTAAACTAGAGTGGACCAAAAAAATCCACCCCCTCAGCACTGACACACATGTGGACCGGAGCTTTGGGCCAAGAGACAACTTTTGGACCATCCTGTAAAGACGTTTTTGAGAGGTCTGCCAACGCTATATGTTAGCATTGGCTAATTCTTCTTCTGGGTCCACCCCCACAGGCCCGGGGTGGTATTGCAGCATATCAGCGCACGTCATTTTGGCCACTTTTGAGCCGGGACCCGCCCCCACTGGTGCAGATGCAAATCCAATAACATTTTACTTTGACAAGACTGTTGGTAATATGGAAGTTAGGAATCTGAGCTAAAATACTAATGCTAATGCTAATGCTAATGTGGGTAGGTTGTTCAAACTGCGGTGTGCGTACCTCCATGGCCTTCCTCATCATCTTGGCGTCAAACTCAGCCGGAGTCATCATCAGCGCCAGGATCAGCCGCTCCAGGTTCTTGGACAGCTCGGACTTCAGGTCCTTCATCAGGTCCTACACACACACACACAACTTACTACAACACACACACAGCTTACAACAACACACACACACAACTTACTACAACAAACACACACAAATTACTACAACACACACAACTTAATGCAACACACACACAACTTACTGCGACACACACACACAAATTACTACAACACACATACACACACAACTTACTACAACACACACAACTTACTGCGACACACACACACACACACACAACTAACTACATCACACACACAACTTACTGCAACACACCCACACACACACACCCACAAAACCACCCACACACACACAGACACACACACACGCACACACAAAACCACCCACACACCCTCACAGACACACACAAACACCCACACAGACACACACACACACACACAGACACACACCCGTCCCAGCAGAGACTTGAAGGCCTGTCTGATCTCTTGTCTCTGTGCGTTACTTCTATTGGCCACGATCTCAATGATGGTGTCCTCGTCGGTCCCTACGACACAAAAACACACACAAACACACACACAAAAACACACACAAAGACACACACGTATGAATGAAATGTCTTGCTAACCAGCTCCTAGCTCTTTGGACTCAAAAGATTCTAAATAAAGCCCAGTTATCTTGTCTTATCGCTTCAGATATCTGGGGAAATGTAGTCATCATGTTGAAAGAGGTGTCTCTAGTGCCCTCTGCTGGCCACAGTGCAGCACAACAAGTCAAGAGTTCTGGCTCAAACCTTGGACCAAAGGACTCAAAGACTGACATCTGTGAGCCGTGTGGAAGCAATCACAGTAGTTCTGCCACTGAAGAAGGACATATATTTGAACAATTGGGCAACTGTAAACTCATACCTGACAAGATAGTATCCTTTTTAATCTTTTTAACCTTTTATAATTTTACTTTTCTCCCTTTCTATTTCTATTTAGACACAAGTTAAAGTAGCAATATGTCAGAATGTCATGTCAAATCATCATTAAAGGGTCCTAATCTGTCATTAAAGGGCCCTAATCTGTCATAATAATAAAAAGTGCTCTTTAACTGATAACAGTAGTTCAGGGATATTAGAATTTCTAAATTACTTTTCCAGCCCTAAATCTTGTTATTGTTTTCATTTTGATGTCCCGCCCTCCACCGTTTCACCAATCAGAAAGTCTGTGATCCGGGCACCAGAACTCACCGCGTGGAGCTAATCTCACTGGTAAAGTTGGGACCTATCCTGTTTGCACTCTATCTCCTCCCACTTGGGGAGATTTTTAACAGACACGGAGTGTCCTATCACTTTTATGCAGATGACTGCCAAATGTATATGCCAATTTAGAGAGGCCATACCCCCCTGACGCCCCTGCTCAACTGTCTATGTGACGCCAAGACTTGGTTAGCCCAGAATTTTTTTGTAATGAATGAGGGAAAAACGGAAATTTTAACATTTGGACCTTACTGACTTGGGACCACTAGGAAATTATGTGCGTTCCAAAGTCACCAGCCTTGGCGTCACTATAGACAATGATTTTAAATTTGACAAACAAGTTAATGGCGTTTTAAAATCGTGTTTTTATCATCTTCGGCTTTTATCAAAAGTGAAGCCATTCTTATCTTTTAACTTGTTAGAACAGGTTGTGCATGCTTTTATTTCCAGTCGTCTGGACTACTGCAACGCACTTTATGCTGGTGTCAATCAGAAAACCCTCTCCCGGTTGCAGTTGGTCCAGAACGCAGCAGCACGACTTTTAACCGGGGCCAGAAAGCGCGAACACATCACCCCTGTACTCGCGTCTTTGCACTGGCTCCCTGTTCATTTTAGAATTGATTTTAAAATGTTACTGTTTGTTTTTAAATCTTTGCATGAACAGGCCCTGATTACATCTCGGACCTCATCCAAATTTACACTCCTGCGCGCGCCCTGAGGTCCGAGAGCCAGCTCCAGCTCGTGGTCCCTAACGCAAGACTTAAAACCCGGGGGGACAGAGCCTTCTCTGTGGTCGGCCCTAAGCTCTGGAACGCTCTTCCCCTCCATGTCCGGACGGCCCCCACAGTAGAGTGTTTCAAGTCTCGTCTTAAGACCCACTTTTACTCTTTGGCTTTTAACACTGTGTGAGTTGTGTGGTCCTCTGTGTTTTTATTTTATTTTATTTCTATTTATGGTTTTAATCTGTTATATATATTGTAATTATTTTATACTTGGTGAAGCTAAGGATAAGTTGTTATTTATTTTATACTTTTTTGTGCAGCACTTTGTAAACGTAACTGTTGTTTAAACGTGCTATATAAATAAAGTGGATTGGATTGGATTGAAAGTACCATGTGGCGCAGAACTAAAAAAGGTCTCGTTATGATTCTCAAATCATTAACGACAAAACAAGGAATAAAACCAGGATTTCTATCTTTGTGAAAAAGGTGTTGGTTATAGATTTGTTGTTGACAAAACTCTTGTCTATTCAGCTGTTATGGTCCCAGCTGGATTCGTCTGCATATCTGGCAACCTGAGTCAGGGAGAGTGGGAGAGGCTGCAGTACCACTTTTGGCCACATTTTTAAATACAACTGCTCTCTTTGTAAACACGAGGTCAAAAAATGTGCGAGACCATTTCAAGGATTTGTTTTGCTTCAATAAAAGTTTGAAGATAAAATTGTGTGACTGTTGTGTGTCCGTTATTCTCCTGGGGGACTTCAACGCCCATGTGGGAAACGCCAGTGACACTTGGAGAGGGGTGATCGGGAAGAGCGGCCCCCCTGATCTGAACCCGAGCGGTGTTCAGTTGTTAGACTTCTGTGCCAGTCACAGTTTGTCCATCACGAACACCATGTTCGAGCACAAGGGTGTCCACCAGTGCACGTGGCACCAGGACACCCTAGGCCGGAGGTCGATGATCGACTTTGTTGTCGTATCATCTGACCTTCGACCGCGTGTCTCGGACACTCGGGTAAAGAGAGGGGCGGAGCTGTCAACCGATCATCACCTGGTCGTGAGTTGGATCCGCTGGCAGGGGAAGAAGCCGGTCAGACCTGGCAGACCCAAGCGTATAGTGAGGGTCTGCTGGGAACGTCTCGCTGAGCCCCCTGTCAGACGGACTTTCAACTCACACCTCCGGGAGAGTTTCTCCCAGGTCCCGGTGGAGGAGGGGGACATGGAGTCCGAGTGGACCATGTTCTCTGCCTCAATCGCCGATGCGGCGGCTCATAGCTGTGGTCGCAAGGTCTCTGGTGCTGGTCCCGGCGGCAACCCCCGAACCCGGTGGTGGACACCGGCAGTAAGGGATGCTGTCAGGCTGAAGAAGGAGTCCTATCGAGCCATGATGGTTCGGGGGACTCCTGAGGCAGCTGTCCAGTACCGGCAGGCCAAGCGTGCCGCGGCCCGGGCTGTTGCAGAGGCAAAAACCCGGGACTGGGAGGAGTTCGGAGAGTCCATGGAGCATGACTATCGGTCGGCCTCAAAGAAATTCTGGCAAACCGTCCGGCGCCTCAGGAGGGGGAAGCAGTTCTTTGCCAACACCATGTACGGTGCGGGTGGAGAGCTGCTGACCTCGACTGGGGATATTGTCGGGCGGTGGAAGGAATACTTTGAGGTTCTCCTCAATCCCCCCGTCACGTCCTCTGTTTCAGAGGCAGAGGCTGAGGATGTTGGGGCGGATACATCCATCTCCCTGGCTGAGGTCACCAAGGTGGTTGGTAGCCTCCATGGTGGCAAGGCTCCGGGTGTGGATGAGATCCGCCCTGATTATCTAAAGTCTCTGGATGTTGTAGGACTGTCTTGGCTGACACGTCTCTGCAACATCGCGTGGCGATCGGGGGCGGTGCCAATGGAGTGGCAGACCGGGGTGGTGGTCCCTCTCTACAAGAAGGGGGACCGGAGGGTGTGTTCCAATTATCGTGGGATCACACTCCTCAGCCTCCCCGGTAAGGTCTACTCCAAGGTACTGGAGAGGAGGCTACGGCCGATGGTCGAATCTCGGATCCAGGAGGAGCAGTGTGGTTTTCGTCCCGGTCGCGGAACACTGGACCAGCTCTATACTCTCCATCGGATACTCGAGGGTTCATGGGAGTTCGCCCAACCTGTCCACATGTGCTTTGTGGATTTGGAGAAGGCGTTCGACTGTGTTCCCCGGGGTGTCCTTTGGGGGGTTCTCCGGGAGTACGGGGTCGGGGGTCCTCTGCTGAGGGCCATCCGGTCCCTGTATGACCGGAGCCAGAGCTGTGTTCGCATTGCCGGCAGTAAGTCAGACCTGTTCCCGGTGAATGTTGGCCTCCGACAGGGCTGCCCTTTGTCACCGGTTCTGTTCACTGTATTTATGGACAGAATATCTAGGCGCAGCCAGGGGTCGGAGGGGGTCCGGTTCGGGGACCACAGGATTTCATCTCTGCTGTTTGCGGACGATGTTGTCCTGTTGGCTCCAACGAACCAGGACCTGCAGCATGCACTGGGACGGTTTGCAGCCGAGTGTGAAGCGGCTGGGATGAGAATCAGCACCTCCAAATCTGAGGCCATGGTGCTCGACCGGAAAAAGGTGCCCTGCCCTCTTCAGGTGGGTGGAGAGGTCCTTCCTCAAGTGGAGGAGTTCAAGTATCTCGGGGTCTTGTTCACGAGTGAGGGAAGAATGGAGCGTGAGATTGACAGGCGGATCGGTGCAGCGTGCGCAGTGATGCGGTCGCTGTATCGGACTGTTGTGGTAAAGAAGGAGCTGAGCCGAAAGGCAAAGCTCTCGATTTACCGGTCAATCTTCGTTCCCTCCCTCACCTATGGTCATGAGCTTTGGGTAATGACCGAAAGAACGAGATCGCGGATACAAGCGGTCGAAATGAGCTTCCTCCGCAGAGTGGCTGGGCGCTCCCTTAGAGATAGGGTGAGGAGCTCAGTCACACGGGAGGAGCTCGGAGTAGAGCCGCTGCTTCTCCACGTCGAGAGGACCCAGTTGAGGTGGCTCGGGCATCTGTTCCGGATGCCTCCTGGACGCCTCCCTGGGGAGGTGTTCCGGGCACGTCCCACCGGGAGGAGGCCCCGCGGAAGACCTAGGACACGCTGGAGGGACTATGTCTCTCAGCTGGCCTGGGAACGCCTTGGGGTCCCCCCGGACGAGCTGGAGGAAGTGTGTGTGGATAGGGAAGTCTGGGCGTCTCTGCTTAGACTGCTGCCCCCGCGACCCGGCAACGGATAAAGCGGAAGAAAATGGATGGATGGATGGATTGTGTGACTGACCGAAGCCCTTCATGGCCTTCCTGAGCGCCTGGGCGTCTGCGGCGGGGTCGTAGTCAGAGGCCGGTCGCACTGTCGGCCTCAGCTGCAAAAAACAAACACATTTATTTATAACTTATGCTTCCCACGGGTCAAAACTACCCACCACAGATGATTCAAAGTAGAAGAAAAATACCAAAATGAGAACCTAAAAGGGTATAAATAACTCAGGGTCAGTCAAGATAGGAAAAATCATCAAACTTCAGCTCAAATGTTTTATTTAGGGTATTTTTGAATCACAGTGGTGGGTAAATTTGACCCATATTTAGTTCACATCACAACAACAATCAAATACATTACATTTTTGAAAATATCTTTGTGAAAAATGGACTCCCATTTCCCATTCACTTGAGGCTTTTACAACGGATTATTATGAAACACAAAACCAACATAATACTGTTTTAAAATAAATGTATTGTTATTATTGTTGCGGTAATTTAACAACGAACCTTCACTTTGGTCGTGGAGCTGATCTCCCACATCTTGTAGGCGAGTTGAGCCGCTTCAGGGAAGAACTCTCCGGCCAGACTGTCACAGAGAAAACAAGAAATCTAAACCGATAACATTGATCGTTGAATATTAATTAAAAAAGATGGACTTAGACTTAATAAAAAATGGAGAGCAGGAGACAAGCAGAGAAATAGTTGCTATAGACTTTGCTAGAGATATAGAGCTATTTGAGGGAAATACGACAGAATGTTCAGATTGACCGACACAAATCAGAATTTAGGGACACTGCTTTTGGGGTACCGCAAGGGTCAATACTGGGACCCACATTATTACTAGTGTACGTGAATGTAATATGCTAAATATCAAAATTAATGATATTTATAGTATCTCAGACTCCTACAGTGACATAGGGCGGCACAGTGGCTGAGTGGATAGCTCTCAGCAAGAGGTCCTGAGTTCGAATCCCAGTCGAAACAGGGCCTTTTCGTAGTGGAGTTTGCATGTTTTCTCTGTGTCTGCGTAGGTTTCCTCCAGGTGTTCCGGTTTTACCCTACCCCTAAAAACATGGTACAATAGGTCTGTGGCGTGAGAGACAAATGCCCACAATTGTAAACCGCTTTGTGACTCTGGTCTGTGAAAGGCGCTATATAAATAAAGATTATTTATCCAATGATCTAATGGAGTGCATTACTGTAGAAATTATGATGGAAAAGAAGAAAAATATTATTGTGACTTGTGTGTACAGAGCCCCTGGTGCAAACGTGGACACTTTTGCAGAGCGCATGGAGAGCATTCTGGAAAGCTTAAAGGACAACAAAATATATATTGCATGTGGTGACTACAATATTGATTTATTAAATTCAACCAAACATAGACAAACGGAACACTTTCTAGATATGATGTATTGTAAAGGACTCTACCCACTCATCACAAAGCCTACTCGAATAACCATTGACTCTGAAACACTTATTGACAACATATTTACAAACATAATCGAAACGACAGTTAATAGTGGCATCTTGATTAGTGACATAACAGACCACTTACCGATCTTTATGACATACAAAGGGGGTACTGACAATAAAAAAGTTCAAAAGGAGAGACAGCACAGAATAGAAAGAATACAAAATGAAGAGACAATAAATAAATTAAGAAATGACCTACTGAATGAGACATGGAATGAAGTTTATGTACCAGAGGTGAATGCTGCATGTGAAGCCTTTCTAGACCAGTACAAGTGTCTGTATGACAACAACTGCCCAGAACGAATAAGGAAAGTGAAAGAAACACTTAAACCATGGCTGACAAGAGGACTGCTAAATGCATGTGCCAAGAAGAACAAGTTATATGAAGAGTCAATTAGATTTAGAACACAAGAAAGTAATAATAAATATAAAACTTATAAAAACAAATTGACAAGCATATTAAGGAAGAGAAGAAAAAGAGAAAAGAGTATAATTCTAAAGCATTATTAGAAAGTCAGAATGATATGAAAGCAACATGGAAGATATTAAAACAAGTTATGGAAAAGAAGAAACCGAAGTCGACTATACCAAATTACTTACTAAATGATGAAAATAATCAAATACAGATGTTAAAGATATGGCCAACAAGCTTAACTCGTACTTTGTAAATATAGGGCCAAAGCTTGCTGAAAAAATTCAACAACCGGGAAATACATATTTAAAAACACAAGGCAGTAAAATTTGTCACTCCATATATTTGGAAGAAGTCACTGAACCAGAAATTTTAAGAACAGTTGCAGAGTTTAAAAATAAGACATCGACAGATAGTGATGGGATAGACATGGCTATCATTAAAAAGACCATAGACTGCATAACCAAACCACTTTGCCATATTTTTTACCTGTCTTTCACTTCTGGACTTTTTCCTGATAGATTAAAAACATCAAAAGTAATTTCTGTATTCAAAACAGGGGACAAGCATTGTCTAACAAATTACAGACCCATTTCTTTAATTTCACAGGTTGCAAAAATTATTGAAAAACTTTTTGTTCACAGATTAGATTCCTTTATAGAAAAAAACATGTTGATTAATGAGAACCAATTTGGCTTCAGGAAAAAACGATCCACGGCTTTAGCACTACTGCAAATCACAGAGCACATAACAGCAGCACTAGAAAATAAACAAAGCACATTGGCAGTATTTGTTGACTTAAAAAAGGCATTCGACACAATTAATCACAGTATATTAATAAAAAAACTACAGTGGTATGGCATAAGAGGAGGGGTGGTAAATTGGGTTGAGAGCTATTTAGAAAATAGACAACAGTTTGTACAGTTTGCTGGCAACATTTCTAACAAACTAAATATTCAGTGTGGAATTCCCCAAGGTTCCATTCTCGGGCCAAAACTCTTTATTTTATATATCAATGACTTATGTTCTGTCTCATCAAAACTTAAATCAGTCTTATTTGCAGATGACACACATTTTTTTCTATCAGGAGATAATATAAAAAAATTAACAAGGACGACGGAAGAGGAAATGATCAAAATAAAAACATGGTTCGATGAGAATAAATTATTATTAAATATAAGCAAAACGAAATTCATGGTGTTTTCAAACAATAACAGTAACACAGACGTCCAGGTGTCAATAAATAGTGTTAGTATTAGATAGCAATATGGCCTACGTGCAGGACTGTACAAGGACTCTACAAGGACTCCATGTTATGACTATGATGTGACTGTCTCTGTGTGACACGTATGTCTTTCGATGTGTGACGTGACAATGACTATATAAACTGTGTACTGCCTTTATTCTGTCTGAGAGAAAGAAACAGAGTAAAACAGTGGAACTTGAGAGCAACTTAAATAAACTTCCAGAGTTTGGCACACCACGATCCGTCTCTGTCTGCTAAATCCTAACAGATTTGGTGGAGAATGCGCGGCTCGGTTTGTGCCATTCTCTGGATTGTTTTGAGGGAGTTTTGCTCTGTTTCTTTTCCTCTGCGTGAGAGATCGGCATGCTGTGTCTGGGAGCGGAGATTCCAGCAGGCTGGAAGAGCTGTTCCTGGATGCTTCTTGTCGCTTCTGTCACTTTTGTTGTTTAAATTGAAAGAGTACAAGAAATAACATTTTTGGGAGTGACAATGGATGAGAAATTAAATTGGAAATCCCATGTAACTCAGGTAAAAAGAAAAATATCAAAACATATCTCGGTACTGCACAACGTGAAACATTCACTTGATCATAAAGCTCTAAGGCTCCTGTACAGTACCCTGATACTGCCCCATTTCACCTACTGTGTAGAAGTCTGGGGAAATACATACAAACACACCATACATCCTCTAATCCTCTTACAAAAAAAAGCAGTGAGAATCATTCATAAAGTGGACTCAAGAGAACACACAAACAACCTATTCATAAAATCAAAACTGTTAAAACTAGAGGATCTGATCAAACTACAGTCACTCATTGTGATGTACAAAGCCAGAGACTCTCTGCTGCCAGCAGCTGTACAACAGCTCTTCTCTCTCAATATAAACCAGGACAGTAGAAGGAAGTTACACTTCTCCGTCCCTTTTGCCAGAACCACCCAGAAACACATGGGAATATCAGTGGTCGGAGTAAAACTATGGAATCAACTTGACTATGAAATAAAATAATCCGCAAACATCCACATGTTTAAGAAAAAAATCAAAGCAACAACAGTGAAATCGTACGAAATGAATGATTAGAAAAAAAAAATAACAAACAAAGAATTATGAAAACAAAAACACATCAAATAAAAACAGTTTGAAGAAGTGCTAAAGGCCATCTTATTTTTTTCTTTTTTTAAATTTTTTTTAAATTTAATTTGTACATGTATGAAGAAAGGGGCAGGCAACATAAGATTTTTTTTCTTCTTTCTGCTCCTTTTCATTTGTGAGACAAGACGACAATTATTTGAAATGTAACTGTAATATGTGTAGTATTGTTTTTGTCCACAATTGAAACAAATAAATAAATAAATAAATTATTAACTTACCCGTGGGGTACCGCAAGGGTCAATACTGGGACCCACATTATTAACAGTGTACGTAAATGTAACATGCAAAATATCAACATTAATGACATTTATACTATTTCATACTCCGACGATGAGATCACTAATGGGGTACCACAAGGGTCAATACTGGGACCCACATTATTACTAGTGTACGTGAATTTGATATGAAAAATATCAACATGACATTTATACTATTTAATTCTCTTAAGATGAAACGTATCCAGGTGCAGGGGCCAAGACAACGCTCTGACCTCAATCTGAACATTTGTGGTCAGAGCGGAAAGAACCCGTCCACAGATATAGTTTGATGTTCTAAGCGGAGATATTTGACGTCGTGAGTTTATTCCCGCAGTGAGAGCAGAGGTCCATGTTCCATGTTTGGACTCACTCGTCATCTCCTCCACACAGGTTCAGCAGAGTCCTCTTGTAGTCTCCGGAAGTGTCGTCCTGGAAACACACACACACACACACACACACATTCTTATATATCACAGAATTGTATGTTGTCGTTTTCTATGTATTTTCCTGCCTGCGGATTACGGATGAAAACAAGCTTGGTAGCTATAATCCGGCATATTAACATTTGTTTTATACTGATGTTCATTAATGTGCATTGTCCCGATCAAATACATAGATAAACAGATTAACACTTAATTAATACAATTTTTTAATAGAGCCGAGACATTAACGCATTCATTAAGATTGATTAAGTACAACAAAAATCATGCGTTAAACATTACTACGACCAGAGAGAGACCGGAGAAAAGAGAGAGACCAGAAAGAGACCAGAGAAAAGAGAGAGACCAGAGAGAGACCAGAGAAAAGAGAGAGACCAGAAATAGAGACCATAGAAAGAGACCAGAGAGAGACCAGAAATAGAGACCATAGAAAGAGACCAGAGAGAGACCAGAAATAGAGACCAGAGACAGAGACCAGAGAGAGACCATAGAAAGAGACCAGAGAGAGACCAGAGAGAGAGACCAAAGAGAGACCCGAGACAGAGACCAGAGAAAGAGATCAGAGAGAGACCTGAGAGACCAGAGAGAGACCAGTGACAGAGACCAGAGAGAGAGACCAGAGAGAGACCAAAGACAGACCAGAGACAGAGACCATAGAGAGGCTTTTAATAATGCAAATGGTTTGAAGATGCTGCCATTAACATCAGTGTATACTGTGAACAGTTTTAACTCCATAAGCCTGTTGCACAGCGTCTCCTCACTGCTCCAGGTCTGCCCAAGGCTCATTGTTGTTGTGTAGCGTTAGCAGCATAGTTAGCAGCATAGTTAGCAGCAGAGTTAGCCGCAGCATGGCTAATTCCTCAGTTTCTGTCAACGGCTTTGTGTCGGATCGACACCGGATGTATTCAGACCTGAATCGACTCGGACCAGAATTCCTTTGGAAGCGGGCCGAGACCACCTAAAAAAATGGATCTCGGTTCGGTTCTTTGGTCCGGACCAGACCTAAAATAGCTCGTAGAGCTTCATAGAAGGTGTCATTTTAAAGCTAAGGAGTAGCTGAACACGTGGATACTATGTTTTTGGGTGAAAAACAAAGCTAAAAGTCCGTAAACAGTGAAAGAACATCCTCTGTGCTCTTTTTTTTTTGCTAAAGATAAATGCACATTTTTGGATTATTTCTCCAGAATGGATTATACTTTGGGAAATACAAGTGGATATTATTTTTAAATGGACTGTTCCAGAGAGAAAGAGCCATAGAAAGCCGGGAGGAGAGCTGATTTATTTATGCAGCACAAGCCCAAAGGTAAAAAACTTTTTCCGAAGTGATTTATTTTGTGCCCACATTATGTGTTATATCTTTTGAATGCAATGCCTGATGTAGTTTACACTTGCATATAGATGTAGATAAGAAAATAAGCTTTAAAATGATATACAGCTTTTGGGATTTGGTGTTCAAAATACATCTGCTATTTCCAGCAGAACATTTTAAAAATAAAAACGGCTCGCCGGCGCACTGGTGGGAGTAAAGAGTGTGTGTTCAGTCATTATTGCCTGGTATCCGTGTGGGGGAGGATGACGCGGGTCTAAACAACACGCCGAGCTGCTGTGTGGGTCTGTGAGGGGAGGATGATGCGGGTCTAAACAACACGCCGAGCTGCTGTGTGGGTCTGTGGTGGGAGAATGACGCAGGTCTAAACAACACGCTGAGCTGCTGTGTGGTTCTGTGGGGGGAGGATGACGCGGGTCTAAAGAACACGCCGAGCTGCTGTATGGGTCTGTGTGGGGAGGATGACGTGGGTCTAAACAACACGCCGAGCTGCTGTGTGGTTCTGTGGGGGGAGGATGACGCGGGTCTAAACAACACGCCGAGCTGCTGTGTGGTTCTGTGGGGGGAGGATGACGTGGGTCTAAACAACACGCCGAGCTGCTGTGTGGTTCTGTGGGGGGAGGATGACGCGGGTCTAAACAACACGCCGAGCTGCTGTGTGGTTCTGTGGGGGGAGGATGACGCGGGTCTAAACAACACGCCAAGCTGCTGTGTGATTCTGTGGGGGGAGGATGACGCGGGTCTAAACAACACGGCGAGCTGCTGTGTGGTTCTGTGGGGGGAGGATGACGCGGGTCTAAACAACACGCCTCACCTTGATCATGTTGTACAGAGACTTCTCGTAGCGCAGACGGAAACACTCTCTGACGTCCAACATGTCAATCTCAGATCGACCAATCATGATGCGGATCAGAGTGTTGTCGGCTGTGCCCAGGCCCTACACACACACACATATATAGATATAGATACACACACACACACACACACATATAGATATAGATACACACTGACGAATATTCACAAAATGCTGCACATCAGACAAAAGAATATGCACTCAGGAATCATAAGGATGACCAGCTTACAAACCAGACAATTATTGACTCCAAGAATAAACACATGTGTGGCAATTTTGACCTATGGAACCACCCGCAGCTCCCCCCCGCAGCAGCTGCGTTTACACAGGCGCCGCACGGGTGGGGGCATTGTTTGCTTAAGCAGAGACCAGACCAGAGACCGGACCAGAGACCAGACCAGAGACCGGAGACCAGTCTCAGACCATGTGACGTCATCGGACATGTTGATAAAAACTGGGGGTAGGATTTTTCTAGTCAGTCAGAGCAGGGATAGAGACAGAGAACATGGCAGAGCGCCTGCATGTTCTCTGCACATTTTCAGGCCTTGAGGGACAGTTTAGAATGGCCAGCATAGGGTTAGATTCAGGGAAATTAAGAGCTCAAAGAGTTTTGTATCAACATTTAATTGTAAAGAGGAATAAATGTTCTATTTTTAACTCTTGCATTCTTGGCCTTATTTCTGTATCAAATTCTGAACACGTCAGTCAAAATTGTTTTTGACGACAACACACACACACACACATATAGATACACGCACACACACAGACATATACACACAGTTAGATCAGAGTGTTGTCTGCTGTGCCCAGGCCCTACACACACACACATATATAGATATAGATACACACACACACACACACACACACATATAGATATAGATACACACACACACACATATAGATACACGCACACACACAGACATATACACACAGTTAGATCAGAGTGTTGTCTGCTGTGCCCAGGCCCTACACACACACACATATAGATATAGATACTGTTGTCAAAAATGATTTGACCGACGTGTTCAGAATTTGGTACAGAAATAAGGCCAAGATTCAAGAGTTCCAATAGTACATTTATTTCTCTTTACAATATAATGTTGATACAGAACTCCCGGAGCTACTCCCTAAATCTCTATCCCTGTGCTCTAACTTCCCCCAATGTGTCCTCCCAACGGTTTTATCAGAATCTCCGATGACGTCACATGGTCTGACGCTGGTCCCAGTCTGGTTTAGTCCAGTTTTGTGTCTCAGGCCGCTAGAGACACGCTGTTCCTGAAAATGATACTTTTATCACAGAAGCCTTGTCCTTGGTGCTTGTCTGAATTCCATTAAATCCAGGCTTTAATATTGCACAAAGACATGTTTGCAAACACCTACTGGAAATCATTAGTATACAACATTATAATTCTACATCAATACACACACACACACATACACACAGATATACACACAGTAACACACAGTTACACACAGACATACACACAGATACACATACATAGAGGGACACACACACACACAGATATACACAGGTATACACACAGTAACACACAGTTACACATATATATATATATATACACACACAGATAGACACAATTACATATACACAGGGACACACACAAAATAATAGGTACACACGAATACACACAGACATAGATATACAGATACACACACATACAGTCAGACACACACACACACACACACACACACACACACACACACACACATACACGTTTTTGTTACCTGGTGGGTCCCTTTGACAGGGCCGTTCAGAATGGGACCCATAGACATAATCTTTTTTTACTGGGACTACTTTAAGTAATACAAAACAGTCAATAGAAACCAAACAACTATTTTAAAGGAATTTTATTTTAGATTTTGTTTTCGAATTGCAGTGATTCTATTTTTGACATAGAATTTAATGCCACTCCATGTCCGATGTCTAAGGTCATCTGGTGAGGCATTAATGCAGGCCAGGCAGTGAGACTTCCCAGGGACCTTTCCAGTCTGTATGAAAGGTGTCATGGTCTTCTCCACAGCCTTCACCTCAGATGCAGACCATGGCTTTCTTACACGTTCTAGGGAGAGAAATAAAAATATATTAGCAATATACACTCCCAGGGTTAGGACCAAGCAGCCTGGCTGTAATCCCCCACCTGGTACACTTACCAGAAGGGGCACTGCCACTACCATGGGGTGCATCTGGATGAATGGTTGAAGGTTCTCCGCTTGAAGTTTCTTTTAGCCCGTCCGTTTGTGAGAGGATCTCTACTGCTCTCCCTGTCGCACAGAAAATAAAAATACAAGTGGCCTTTAGGGGAAAAAAATCATACATATTTTAATAATATCAAGAATTACCTTCAGGCTCAATTTGTATCTGGTCGAGGCTCTTTCCTTCGAATTCCGTCACTCTTCCCTGCTCCATGGCCATCAACACTTTGCTGATTTTGGCCAGCTCCAGTGTCCCCTCTGGTAGTCTGTAATATTGCCTGTGGATGCGAATGTCATGGCCGAGGAAGTTGGCAAGTATGTCCATCTCATTCTCTTTCATATTGAGAACTGTAGACATAGTAGCTATGTGCTTTCTAAGTTTGGTTGAGGATAGCATCTCTGGATGCACCGCACCACATTCTTTGGCTACCTGGCGTAGGGAGTCTGATCCCCTGATGTGGGTGTCTGCGCCCGGGCGGGAAAAGAAGTATGGGTTATGGTCAGAGATGGAACAGGCCCTTCTGTTCTCCACCAGCACCTCCATCGAAGCAATCATTTCAGGAGTCAAAAGAACCGGCACTTTCCGACTTCTTTTCCCTTTAATTTCAATGCGTTGAAAATGCTGACACAGCTTTTTCTCAAGTTGGGACAGTCCCAGAGCAATGTCAGAATGGATCCCAGTCTTACTTCTTAAGGTAAAGGCTGTCAGTGGCATCTTTGAAACCTCACCTTCCCTTCTTCGATTGAAAATGATGACCTCACAAAGAGTCAAAACTGCCAGTTTAGACCAATGCTTAGACGTTGGCTCACTTATTAGGGTTTGCACATATTCAGGTCGACATACCTCAATATGTGCATGCATGGCTCTAACGTCCTCAGTCAGAGGGAGCAGGTCCGGAGTGTTCCACTTGGCTTGCCGGAGGGTCTGTAGGGCAGCAGAAGAAACACAGACGTCCCACCTCTTCTCAAAAAGCAGCCGGCTTCGTTGGAGGTTTTTAATAAATAGTTCATCAACACAATGCTCCATTTTTGAGTCACATTGAAGAATATCTGCTAGCTTTCTGAGGCTATGGCCGAGTTTGAGGGCCAAGGATGGAGTCTTGTATTGATTTGTTTCCTCATCATATCCAGCCACAGACCTGACTGCATCAATCACATGGTTAAAGTTGGAAGGAATAAAGAAATCCTTAATTGTTTTCAGTTTCCCTGCGGTTTTTGCTTCGTTAATTAACCTACCGACTTCTCTCATTTTCTGCCTAATGTAATCATGCTTAGTCTTATCATGCCCGTGTTTTAAGTACAGGTGCTCTCCGAGTCTCAGAATCCCCTTTTCTGCTTTGACAACACCCGTGACCTCATCCTGATGCATTGCCGAAATTAAAGACCACAGCTTTTTGCTGATGCCCTCCGGTACAGGCTGGGCTAGGGAGCAGAGGGACTGGACCCTACTTCTACCTGGTTTAGCCTGGGCATCTTTCTGTGAAAGCCGGCACCTGGCCACATGCCTCCACAGCGACTTTCGCTTAAGCAATGCCCCACAGTCTATACAGTGCAAAAACTCACTGGATTTAACTGGGGAATTTGGCTGTTTAGCTGGGACTAAAGTTCCAATGCCGGCCTTTAAAACCTCAAAATTGTGCTCACGGTTTCCACTATTCCTGATCAAATCAAACTGAAGTTTACGTGCTTTAGATTTCACAGGTAGAGCCAATGCTCTGGCTACGTCACTTTCATTTCCATGTTTTCTAGTCAAATGACGGGACATTTTGTGGCAGGACATTGAACAGTAGAGGCAGAAGTGTCTCTTGCTGTATACTCGCCCCCCATTTTTCTTCTTTTGCAGCTGCATGATAACAATCTTATTTGCCTTTGGTTCGTCACTTTCCGAGTCTTGAAGAAAAGTGTTTTTGATTTTTCTTTTTCCATACTTTTTTACAGGTTTCTTCTTGACAGTTAAATCGTCAGAATCTGAGTCGACTTCATCAATTAGGGACTCTTGACTAAGCTGCACAAACAACAAATAATTTGTAATCATTCTATATAACAATTTGAAGTCATGACTTGTAGTCAGCACTTACCAGTGGTTTGTAAGCGTGCGCTTCAGTGTGCTCCTCCATGATTTCTTGCAGCCTAATGAACCACACACTTGCACCTTTTTCTAGCCTGACACCTGATTTCCTCTGTTGTGCTGCTCCATGATTGGCTCCAGCCTGCTGGACTGAAATTGCCCCAGTGTGCCCCTCCTTGATATCCCGCAACCCACCACCAGGGTTCCGACACATAACACACTTTTTTCAGGAAAGTAAACCTCCAGGGGTCCTTTCCATATTTTTACAGAGACTGCATAAGGACCGTTAGAAAAGCATTACCCATTGATTATTAAGCTTGGACCAGTGGGGTCCGGTGTTCGGGCCCCACCACGTAAAACCAGTCCCCATGACGTGAGTGGAATCTCAGGTTATGGAACCCACCAGGAGTTGAAAACAAGTGCACAGATACAGACAAAGTACTCCAGTGTAGTACTTGAGTGAGTAATGTGTGTCTGTAGTACTCGTGTGTAATACTTGTGTGTAGTCCTTGTGTGTAGTACTTGTGTATTGTACTTATGTGTAGTACTCTTCCAGTTGTGTAGTACTTTGTGACAGTACCTTCATGGACTTGTAAAGGCGTTTGGCGAAGTACATGGGGACACTGCGGATGCACTGCACTGAGGAAACAAACAGGTGCGGTTCAGTCCAGTCCAGTCTAGTCCAGTGCAGTTCGGTTCAGTCCAGTCCAGTTCGGTCCAGTCTAGTCCAGTCCGGTCTGGTCCAGTCCAGCCCAGCCCAGTCCAGTCCAGTCCTGTCTAGTCCAGTCCAGTCGATGTACTGGACTTTACTAGACTAAACTGCAGTCTAGTCTAGTCTAGTCTAGTCTAGACTAGTCTAGTCTAGTTCAGTCTAGTTCAGTCTAGTGTAGTCCAGTCTAGTCCAGTCTAGTTCAGTCTAGTCCAGTCCGGTTCAGTCCAGTCTAGTCCAGTCTAGTCCAGTCCCTCTCTTACCCACGGCCAGCATGAGGCGCTCAAAGTCCCCGGACAGTTCGCTCTTGATGCTGTCCTCGATGGTTGTCTCGTAGGCCTTTTCATACTCCTCAAACACTGCAGACGAAGGGAGAGCGCGTGGGAAAGTTCATGGTTGCATTCACAGTTGGAGATATACAATACATACTGTACATACATACATGGTTTGTTTGTTTTGTTACTGATACTTTGAGATTATCCGCGAGGAAGCAGCTGTTTGTTTTAAGGCTAAAACTCCCCACACACTTTTTATAAACTTTTATGACCACCTGAAATTACCAAATTGAAATGAGAGAGACCAGAGAGAGAGAGAGATCAGAGAGAGACAGAGAGAGCAGAGAGAGACCAGAGAGAGAGAGAGATCAGAGAGAGACAGAGAGAGCAGAGAGAGACCAGAGAGAGAGACAGAGACCAGAGAGAGACCAGTGGAGGTCCCGGAGAGAGACCAGAGAGAGAGAAACCAGAAAGAGAGAGAGAGAACACAGAAAGAGAGAGCAGAGAGAGACCAGAGAGAGAGAAACCAGAAAGAGAGAGAGAGAACACAGAAAGAGAGAGCAGAGAGAGACCAGAGAGACCAGAGAGAGACCAGAGAGAGAGACCAGAGAGAGAGATCAGAGAGAGAAACCAGAAAGAGAGAGAGAGAGAGAGAGACCAGAGAGAGAGAGAGAGAGCAGAGAGAGACCAGAGAGAGACCAGAGAAAGACCAGAGAGAGACCAGAGAGAGATCAGAGAGAGACCAGAGAGAGCAGAGAGAGAGCAGAGAGAGACCAGAGAGAGACCAGAGAGAGAGCAGAGAGAGACCAGAGAGAGACCAGAGAGAGACCAGAGAAAGACCAGAGAGAGACCAGATAGAGACCAGAGAGAGCAGAGAGAGACCAGAGAGAGACCAGAGAGAGACCAGAGAGAGAGAGAGAGAGAGAGACCAGAGAGAGAGAGAGAGAGAGAGAGAGAGAGAGAGAGAGAGAGAGAGAGAGAGAGAGAGAGAGAGAGAGAGAGAGAGAGAGAGAGAGAGACGAGAGTACAGTGGGAAACCAGAGAGACATACTGATAATAATAACAGATCAATGTTATGAATGTGACTCCCAGGGGTCTCTCATCATAGCACTAACCAGGACCTACCCCACTTGTCAACAAGGGTCTAAAACAAACTGGCTTTCATGCAGGTATGGCATGACAAAGATGGAAGTATACTGCCAAAACATGTCCGGCAACTAAGCAGTTTTTTACACATTCTCACATTTAGTCCTTTGACATTTTTCTGAACTCAAAATTTTTGTTCTGACTTTAAAAAAAGGGGACAGTCATGTGATGCTTTTGGCTATATTGGTGGAGTAAGAAGCACACTGTAAAATAATAATAATTATACATTTCAAACCAAAATCAGCAAAACAGAGAGAGAGAGAATAACCAGAGGGAGCAGAGAGAGACCAGAGCGAGAAGAGAGAGACCAGAGCGAGAAGAGAGAGACCAGAGCGAGAAGAGAGAGACCAGAGAGGGCAGAGAGAGACCAGAGTGAGCTGAGAGAGACCAGAGCGAGAAGAGTGAGACCAGAGAGAGACCAGATAGGGACCAGAGAGAGAAGAGAGACCAGATAGGGACCAGAGAGAGACCAGAGAGAGCAGAGAGAGACCAGAGCGAGACCAGAGCGAGACCAGAGAGAGACCAGAGAGAGACCAGAGAGACCAGAGCAAGACCAGAGAGAGACCAGAGAGAGGAGAGAGCCCAGAGAGAGACCAGAGAGACCAGAGAGAGACCAGAGAGAGAAGAGAGAGACCAGAGAGAGACCAGAGAGACCAGAGCGAGACCAGAGCGAGACCAGAGAGAGACCAGAGAGAGACCAGAGAGACCAGAGCAAGACCAGAGAGAGACCAGAGAGAGGAGAGAGACCAGAGAGAGACCAGAGAGACCAGAGAGAGACCAGAGAGACCAGAGAGAGACCAGAGAGAGAAGAGAGAGACCAGAGAGAGACCAGAGAGAGAAGAGAGAGACCAGAGAGACACCAGAGAGACCAGAGAGAGACCAGAGAGAGACCAGAGAGAGACCAGAACAAGCAGAGAGAGAGAGAGAGACCAAAGAGAGACCAAACAGCGAGGTAGCGAAACCAAAAATATCTGTATCGGCCGCAGAAACCTGACTGGATCCACTTCTCAGTAAAAACTTGTATATTTCTCTTCCTCAAACACTTCTTTTATAAAAAACAAATCAACCAATCAGAAGGAGAGACCTTTGTGGAGGTGAGGAATACTGCGGTTTCCCAGGATCATGATGAACTTGGCCTCGTCCGTGCCCCACTGCTCCTCTCCGGCGGCAAACAGGTCCTTCCAACAGAGCATTCAAGTATCATTAAAGGGCCCTAATCTGTCATCATTAAAGGGCCCTAATCTGTCATCATGAAAGAGCCCTAATCTGTCATCATTAAAGGGCCCTAATCTGTCATCATTAAAGGGCCCTAATCTGTTGTCATTAAATGGCCCTAATCTGTCATCATTAAAGGGCCCTAATCTGTCATCATGAAAGAGCCCTAATCTGTCATTATTAAAGGGCCCTAATCTGTCATTATTAAAGGGCCCTAATCTGTCATCATTAAAGGACCCTAATCTGTCATCATTAAAGGGCCCTAATCTGTCATCATTAAAGGGCCCTAATCTTTCGTCATTAAAGGGCCCTAATCTGTCATCATTAAAGGGCCCTAATCTGTCATCATGAAAGAGCCCTAATCTGTCATCATTAAAGGGCCCTAATCTGTCATCATTAAAGGGCCCTAATCTGTCGTCATTAAAGGGCCCTGATCTGTCATCATTAAAGGGCCCTAATCTGTCATCATGAAAGAGCCCTAATCTGTCATCATTAAAGGGCCCTAATCTGTCATCATTAAAGGGCCCTAATCTGTCATCATTAAAGGGCCCTAATTTGTCATCATTAAAGGACCCTAATCTGTCATCATTAAAGGGCCCTAATCTGTCGTCATTAAAGGGCCCTAATCTGTCGTCATTGAAGGGCCCTAATCTGTCATCATTAAAGGGCCCTAATCTGTCATCATGAAAGAGCCCTAATCTGTCATCGTTAAAGGGCCCTAATCTGTCATCATTAAAGGGCCCTAATCTGTCGTCATTAAAGGGCCCTAATCTGTCATCATTAAAGGGCCCTAATCTGTCATCATGAAAGAGCCCTAATCTGTCATCATTAAAGGGCCCTAATCTGTCATCATTAAAGAGCCCTAATCTGTCGTCATTAAAGGGCCCTAATCTGTCATCATTAAAGGGCCCTAATCTGTCATCATGAAAGAGCCCTAATCTGTCATAATTAAAGGGCCCTAATCTGTCATAATTAAAGGGCCCTAATCTGTCATCATTAAAGGGCCCTAATCTGTCATCATTAAAGGGCCCTAATCTGTCATCATTAAAGGGCCCTAATCTGTCGTCATTAAAGGGCCCTAATCTGTCATCATTATAGGGCCCTAATCTGTCATCATGAAAGAGCCCTAATCTGTCATAATTAAAGGGCCCTAATCTGTTATCATTAAAGGGCCCTAATCTGTCATAATTAAAGGGCCCTAATCTGTCATCATTAAAGGGCCCTAATCTGTCATCATTAAAGGGCCCTAATCTGTCGTCATTAAAGGGCCCTAATCTGTCATCATTATAGGGCCCTAATCTGTCATCATGAAAGAGCCCTAATCTGTCATAATTAAAGGGCCCTAATCTGTTATAATTAAAGGGCCCTAATCTGTCATAATTAAAGGGCCCTAATCTGTCATCATTAAAGGGCCCTAATCTGTCATCATTAAAGGGCCCTAATCTGTCATCATTAAAGGGCCCTAATCTGTCATCATTAAAGGGCCCTAATCTGTCATCATTAAAGAGCCCTAATCTGTCATTATTAAAGGGCCCTAATCTGTCATCATTAAAGAGCCCTAATCTGTCATCATTAAAGGGCCCTAATCTGTCATCATTAAAGAGCCCTAATCTGTCCTTATTAAAGGGCCCTATTCTGTCATCATTAAAGGGCCCTAATCTGTTATCATTAAAGGGCCCTAATCTGTCATCATTAAAGAGCCCTAATCTGTCATCATTCAAGGGCCCTAATCCGTCATCATTAAAGGGCCCTAATCTGTCATCATTAAAGGGCCTTAATCAGTCATCATTAAAGGGCCCTAATCTGTCATCATTAAAGGGCCCTAATCTGTCATCATTAAAGGGCCCTAATCTATCATAATAAAAACTGTTCTTTTCTTTTTTAACTGATAACAGTAGTTCAGAGATATTTGAATTTCTAAATTAGTTTTACAGCCCCTAAATCTTGTTATTGTTTTCATTTCGATGTCCCGCCCTCCACCGTTTCACCAATCAGAAAGTCTGTGATCCGGGCGCCAGAACTCACCGCGTGGAGCTAATCTCACTGGTAAAGTACCATGTGGCGCAGAACTAAAAAAGGTCTCGTTATGACTCTCAAATCAATAACGAGACCTAATATGAATAAAACACTGATATTTAAATATGGTTTCAGTCCCAGCCCACACACACACACACACACACACACACACACACACACACGTTAAATTAAGAATTCTCCATCACATATGACTTCACACTGGTGCAGACTCGAGCTGGAACCTCTGCTCTGGAAACTATTCATGACTCACCAGATAATATTCTGTGTTTGTTTTCTGTATTTACTTCTCAGAATAAAGAGAGATTGAACTAATACTTTACACCTCCACAAAGACTGGGTCTGACCTGGATGTCCTCCGCCACTAACTCCTCATCCACGGATCCAGACTCATCCCTGGTGCCCTGTACAGTGGGAAAGGTGTGTTACTACTACTACTACTGCTACTGCTACTGCTACTGCTACTGCTACTACTGCTGCTGCTGCTACTACTGCTACTGCTACTACTACTACTACTGCTGCTGCTACTACTACTACTGCTACTGCTACTGCTACTACTACTGCTACTGCTACTGCTACTACTACTGCTACTGCTGCTACTACTACTGCTACTGCTGCTACTACTGCTACTGCTACTACTACTACTACTGCTGCTGCTACTACTACTACTGCTACTACTACTACTACTACTGCTACTACTACTACTGCTGCCTAATCCTTGCCTGCAGCAGTACGACCAGCATCTTCCTGAAGTGTCCTGTAGTGTCTGCGATGATGTCGTCCTCCATCTCTCTGCCGTACGCTGAAACACACACTCACTTTAGGCTTGGAGTCTCTGAAGACATCAGGAACACAGGGACTGGCCTCCTGCTGGGACTCTGAGGAGCACAGGGACTGGCCTCCTGCTGGGACTCTGAGGAGCACAGGGACTGGCCTCCAGCTGGGACTCTGAGGAGCACAGGGACTGGCCTCCTGCTGGGACTCTGAGGAGCACAGGGACTGGCCTCATGCTAGCCTGGTCGTACCACACCATAGTACAAATTTCATTTCATACTAAGGTCTGGATTTGCTCCATTGAGCTCCGTTAACAGGTGGGAGGGGTTAACTCCTTTTGCAGATTGAAACGATTGGATCTGAGTTTACTGTGACGTATGTAATGCGCCCGAGTCTGTCGTTAGCATTTAGCCTTAGCCATCTCCTTTGCTGCTAACGGAGCCCGTGGGGAGTAGCGCCACAATCTTGACCAGTGATTACATTTGCTAAACATTCCTCTTGCTCCTGCTTCAATTTCTTGATAGAACCAGACCAGATTACTTTACTATCGCATTCTTCGCCATTACCAAACTACAACCTGCCCGTTCGGCTCAAACTCTTGACGTCACCGGCACCGACCTACAACACCCGCCTTCCGCGCTCTCTGAGTAGCCGGTCGAAATACGACCGATTGTATTCGCAAACACAGGGACCACACCCAGACGTTACATGCAGTGAAATGATGATTGAGCGGAGTGTACGGATGGCTATGGCCAGGCTGGCCTCCTGCTGGTCCCAGAGTCAGGACTAAACATGGGGAGGCTGCATTTCAGATTCATGCAGCAAAAATCTGGAACAATCTTCCTGAAATCCAGGACTGAAAGTGTGAGACAGGCTTCTTCTCTGACAATGTATAAATCCAGGTTAAAAACAGTTCTGTTTAGCTGTAGTAAAACTGAGGGATTTTATATTTTTGTCTTTCTTTTTAATGTTTTGTGATTATTTATGATTTTAATGCTATTCAGCCTTGTGCATGAACCTGCACTAGGCTACTACTACTATTACTGCATCTGCTGCTGCTACTGCTTAACTTGCCATGGCAATTTACTGGAAAGATTCTGGACATTTTCTGCCCCTTTGCAACTCTAGTCACAATCTTATATTTGCCTCAGTCCGGGTCCAGTCCAGGTCCAGTCCCGGTTTGCATCCATATGTGACTCACCTTCCCTGTAGGCTGCCACCATGTCGTGGACTTGCTGGTTGTTTCTCGAAGACAAAATTTCAATCAAACATTTCTCGTCCGTCCCTGCTCCCTTTGAACACAACGATACGTAAGAGGAAAAACCAAGATGGAAAAGAAGACGAGAGACAGCGGACCTTCTTACTTTAACGGCATCTTTGACTTCTTTGGCATCGTGGAACGCAGGAGTCCGCATCAGACTCACAATGAGCCGCTCGAACTTTCCCGTCAGCTCGTACTTTAGGTCTTCAATCAGGTCCTAGAAGAGATGGAGGGGAAGAGAAATGAAATCCAGGACTGAGGCTGTAGATCCAGGACTGAGGCTGTAGACCCAGGACTGAGGCTGTAGACCCAGGACTGAGGCTGTAGACCCAGGACTGAGGCTGTAGACCCAGGACTGAGGTTGTAGACCCAGGACTGAGGCTGTAGACCCAGGACTGAGGCTGTAGATCCAGGACTGAGGCTGTACACCCAGGACTGAGGCTGTAGACCCAGGACTGAGGCTGTAGATCCAGGACTGAGGCTGTACACCCAGGACTGAGGTTGTAGACCCAGGACTGAGGCTGTAGACCCAGGACTGAGGCTGTAGACCCAGGACTGAGGCTGTAGATCCAGGACTGAGGCTGTAGATCCAGGACTGAGGCTCTAGACCCAGGACTGAGGCTGTAGACCCAGGACTGAGGCTGTAGACCCAGGACTGAGGCTGTAGACCCAGGACTGAGGCTGTAGATCCAGGACTGAGGCTGTAGACCCAGGACAGCAGAGACCTACCTTCCCAAAGTTACTCTTGTAGGCTGTGATGACCTCCTGCCGTTGGGCGTTGCTCCGTGATGTGACCAGATCCAAGATGGCGTCCTTATCGCTGCCTGTGAAGAGGACACACTGTATCACACACAAGTAACAGACAGCTGTAAAGTGAAAGTAAAATTATTAGGGCTGTCAAACGATTACATTTTTTAGTTGATTGATCGCACAGTAATGGTGAATTAACTCATGATTAATCGCGTTTCGTGTTTGTGTGCACAGGTTACACACAGGTTACACAAAGACACGCACACAACATGGAGAGAATAGTTCTGTACGTGTATGGTCTTGGATCACGTTACCGCGGCGCCATTTGCCGTGTTGTTGTTAGCAGCTCACAGCCGCTGGAGGTGGGAACAGATCTGTCCTGAGCGGCCGTAGCTGCCCCGGGTCAGAACACTGCGGCCGCTCAGGATGCAGACTTCAGTTCATACTCAAACAAGAGCAAGTGCCCCGAGGTCACGCACAAATTCTTTTAAAACTTGAATTCCCACAGACCTGCTCTATCGCCATCTCACACACGCAGCATTCAGAGTGATATTATGGGATGCATGGGCAGGTCATTCAGCACGTACTTAATTAATGAAAAAATCAAATTAACGTGCGTTAAAGTGTTAATTTTAACACCCCTTAAAATTATACATGATTCTGTTATTTTCAGGCCTGTACCAATATTCATATGTCTCAGTTATGGGGCAGAATTGGACAGTTTCCAAAAAAGTATCGCGATATGTTAAGAATAGCAATAATATTGAATTGTGGCCCAGATATTGCACTACTCTCCAATCGTCACACAGTAGCACTCACCCAGGCCCTTCATGGCAGCGTACAGAGCCTCTGCGTCTGCGGACGGGTCGAAGTCCGGAGCCGCAGAGATGGTCCCTCTGAACACCTGCACACGCACACACACACACACACACATACACACACACACACACACGCACACACACACAGATTCAATATGATAAAGAGTCAGGGATTTTCCACTTGATGTTTTGGTCTGAAGACGGAGCTAACATCTATTGGTGCCGTGGCAGCTGCTGAGAGAGCGTTCTTGATTCTTCTGGTTTAAATAACATTAATCAAATGCTGCAAAACTCGCAATCGCAGACCTCCGAAACTTTCCTTCAGTCGGTGGAGGATGCGGACAATGAACAGCTTCGTCTACAGTATGGAAGAGGACCACTGAAAAACTGAAGAAACCTGAAAAACTGGAAACTGAAACAAAGGCCCATGGGCATTTCTGCTTAAGATCCCATCTCAATCACATTTAGATCAAAGTATCAGGAACTTCTGGTACAAACAGTTAGTTCCATAGTGTATTGGTATGATTGACAGATTTGATACGTATGTCTCTCTGGAACTCACTCCCACTGACCATTAGAAACTCACTACTCACTTTAAATCTCAAAACACTTTTTTTCCGTAAACCCCTTTTTATTTGTATTGGATTTTATTCCCCATGTGAGTGTCCAAAAAAGCGCTATACAATTTTGATTTATCATTATTATTATTATTATTATTATAGATGAAAAGTGTCAGAGGAGCTCTCCCGGGACAGAACCTTCATGTTCAAAAGAGAAGAGACATGTTTCTCTTCAACACGTCTCAAACATCAGAACTAATGTGTGTATTGTTTTTTTGGGGCAGTTGTCTCCTTGTTAGTGATGGCAATATGAAGCCCCATGAAGCATTGAGGGATCGCAGCCTATTACTCGGCCCATGAGTCGAAGGCTCAAGGTGAATCATGCTCCACTACGCCATCATGTGGACAAAGAAATACATAACACTCTTAAGTGCTTACAATGAATGGTGAGATCTAATGTTAAAATGTATATTTACAATCTATGGTCTAACGTGTTGTGTTTGAAAAACTACCAAGAGGTGGATTAATTAAACACAACAAACCATTTATTCCCAATAAATAAATACATTTACTTTGCAACACAAAATGTATTACGGGTAGACCGGGATTCGAACGCTATATCTTCTGCTTCGGAGTCCGTCATAGACCGACTGCGCCACACAGCTGTTGTGAAATGTGTTATCCAGCGTATTATTACTAATAACTTGAAGCCTTGATATATGAGGTTTTACTAAAGTGAAAAGTTTTTAATTGTATTTCATATGAAGTAGTTTCTCTATACTTAGTACAGGACTGCTCCACATCACGCACACACACGTACGCACACACACGTACGCACACACACGTACGCACACACACACACGTACGCACACAGAGGCAGACGGGGACAGCCAATACAGTCTATGGTACAGCCGCGGATCACAAAGCACCTGTCAAAGCAATGCACTCTCCGAACGATATGAAGCACTATATGAACCGTCACGTGGTGCGGCCGCTACGCGAGGCTTCGAACGTCACCAACACACGTCACCAACACACGCCTCGAACCACGCTTAAAAAAATACGCCCCTTTTTTACTCGGTACACGCTTCGAAGGCCCGGCACGCTCAGCACATCACTATCTCCTTGTCCCACAGTCACTCTCACAAACACACACTTATTCATCTTGAACTACTGTATATGTTTTAGTGATGGGGGAAACCTGGAGCACTATCACAATGACCCACCTGCAGGACTCTCCGTGAGGTCAGGACGTTTGGTAGTGACCTGAGAGTCTGAAGTTGTTATAAACCGTTTAAAGTGGTTGTTTGGGTCAGATCAGAAAGTGTAGAGTGCTCTGCGTAACAAGAGCAGGCAGCACCTCTCACAGATGTGCTGTGACATCACCAATCATCACATGTTTGACCGAGAAGGATCAGAACGTTTCTAAAATGTCCTCCACACTGGATACAGGAGCATACAGCTCTCCCTCATGGTGCACACCAGGGAGGAGTCCAGGAGGCGTCCTGAGCAGATGCCCGAGCCACCTCAACTGGTTGCTCTGGATGTGGAGAAGCAGTGGCTCTACTTCGAGCTCCTCCAGTGTGACAGAGCTCCGTATCTCTAAGGGAGCAAGGTCAATTCACCGCTTGTATCCGCGATCTTGTTCTTCGGTCATTACCCAAAGCTCATGACCAGAGGTGAGGGAGGGAACGAAGATGGGAGAGGGTCGGGGCCAGGAGAGGACCAGGACCCAAAGAGGACCAGGACCCAATGAGGACAAAGGACCCAAAGAGGACCAGGACCCAATGAGGACAAAGGACCCAAAGAGGACCAGGACCCAAAGAGGACCAGGACCCAAAGAGGACACAGGACCCAAAGAGGACCAGGACCCAATGAGGACAAAGGACCCAAAGAGGACACAGGACCCAAAGAGGACCAGGACCCAAAGAGGACACAGGACCCAAAGAGGACCAGGACCCAATGAGGACAAAGGACCCAAAGAGGACAGAGGACCCAAAGAGGACCAGGACCGGGAGAGGACCAGGACCCAAAGAGGACACAGGACCCAAAGAGGACCAGGACCGGGAGAGGACCAGGACCGGGAGAGGACCAAGATCGGGAGAGGACCAAGATCCTCAGATTTGGAGCTGATTCTGTCTTTCTTCAATAAAGCAGACTGGACCAACACTTCTACTCAGAAATGATGTTTTCGATCAATCAGCTGACGACACTTTGAGCTGTCAAAATTCTGATCCAATGATATTTTCAAAGACCCATAATAAACACAATCAGACACTGTGTATGAATGAACAGTCTGTAAATATAGCCCCATGTGTCAAATGGCACAAGTCCATATCACACATGAGTTTCATATTTCAAGTTGTACTACATGAATGAATGAAGTTTTCACAAGACTCTAATGATCTGAGTTCCACCTGTGTATGTCACTCACTCTTGTAAGCAGCAGGAGGAGGGTTTGGGTGAAAACAGCAGGTAATGGTGAAATGCATTCTGCTGATCTGTAAAATATTCCCACACTGGAACTGGGGGGAACTAGCAAGGCACACACAAACACACGCACACACACAAACACACACACACACACGCACACGCACACACACATGCACACACACACGCAGGGTCAGCTGTCACTCGTCTGAACAGCTGTAAGGCCAGAGACATCAGTCGGCAGAATGCAAACACAGGCCTCTAGCAACGACAACTGCAGCCGCCCACGCCTCCTGGGATCTGCACCAACACTTTACCCTCACTGTTGTTTTAAAATGGACCAATAACACACATCGCTTCATCTACTTCCACTGCTCTATCTCCATCAAAGCAGTTTTAAGTCTGTCTGGAGGTTCTTTATGGATTCAGACTCTTAAAGTGGCAATATGTAAGATTTTTATGTTAAGTCATCATTAAAGGGCCCTAATCTGTCATCATTAAAGGGCCCTAATCTGTGTTCATTAAAGGGCCCTAATCTGTCATCATTAAAGGGCCCTAATCTGTCATCATTAAAGGGCCCTAATCTGTCCAAGGGCATTAATAAAACATGCTCTTTTCCAATACTTCTTTAACTGATAACAGTAGTTCAGAGATATTTGAATTTCTAAATCACTTTTCCAGCCTCTAAATCTTGTTATTGTTTTCATTTCGATGTCCCGCCCTCCACCGTTTCACCAATCAGAAAGTCTGTGATCCGGGCGCCAGAACTCACCGCGTGGAGCTAATCTCACTGGTAAAGTACCATGTGGCGCAGAACTAAAAAAGGTCTCGTTATGATTCTCAAATCATTAATGACAAAACAAGGAATAAAACCAGGATTTCTATCTTTGTGAAAAAGGTGTTGGTTATAGATTTGTTGTTGACTAAACTCTTGTCTATTCAGCTGTTATGGTCCCAGCTGGATTCGTCTGCATATCTGGCAACCTGAGAGTGGGAGAGGCTGCAGTACCACTTTTGGCCACATGTTTTTTACATACTGCTCCTTTAAACTGACCACTTCAAATAATGAGTGTCTCTTCTGGCCCTGAAAAAACCCATATTCCAGCTTCTTCCCTCAGACTCCCACGTCTACAGTTGTGTCTTTAACAAATCTGATCCTGGGTCAGATCAGAAAGTGTAGAGTACTCTGCGTAACAAGAGCAGGCAGCACCTCTCACAGATGTGCTGTGACATCACCAATCATCACATGTTTGACCGAGAAGGATCAGAACCTCTGCACAGTCTCCTCCTGGTCTGAGGAGGGAGCACAGGGCTCTGTCTCATGGTGCCACACATGTACCTGTGCTACACTCTGAGGGCCTCTCTGACACAACACAGAACCCGAGGCCTGAGAGAGATCCTTTATCTCCTTTCCCACAGCAGGGAAATGTCAGTGTTGCATCACCGGTCACAGAACAGTAAGAGTGAGGAGCACACAGCACATGAGAGAAAGGACATGAATAATAACTCTACACAAAAATAAACTCTAGCATAAAAAGAAGCAAGATATTGTCATTTTGAATTGACTTTGTCTTAAAAAGGTTTGTTCTGGAGTAAAACCATCAGTGTGAGATAAACACACATGAAACACGCAGACTCAGGGATCATTGACCGACTTTCCCGGTGTATTTTCCCAGTGGAGCAGCGTTCATTCCCATTGTTAGTGAAGTAGTGTGTTCCTGAGAGAATGTGTTGAATCTCTGAGATGTTGGAGACACAAAGGACCAGAATGCATTAGTTTTAATAACGCCATTCATCATTAAACATATCTTATAAAACACATAAAGCCATTGGTTCAAAAGGAGCAGAGTCCATAAAGTCTGAGTCTGATTTACAGAAGTAAGTAATATGTTATTTATATGGCACATTTTTACAGCCAAAGAGCTTCACAATGTTCAGATATTTCTAATCTCTCCACACGGTGACACTGAACACACTGGTCCATCAAAGCCTCCGACCAAACACCCTCCATTCACTCACGACATTCAGACCTAATGCACATGGTTTTAGTGGTGGGGAAACCGGAGCACCCCGAGGAAACCTACACAGACAGACCAGTCAGAAAGGCCCAGTTCCGACCGGGATTCAAACCCAGGACCTTCTTGATGAGAAGCGAGAGCGCTAACCACTCAGCTACAGTGTCATAAACAGTAGTAGGGCGGCACAGTGGCAGAGTGGATAGCACTCTCGCTTCTCAGCAAGAAGGACCTTGGTTCAAATCCCGTTCAGAACAGGGTCTTTCCAAGCCCTGGTGATCCAAGATGGCGCCCTATTCAAATGAATGGCTTGTGCTCAGAAGTGCATGGGACTTCACAGAAACCGACATATCAGAGGAACCTATATTTGGGCATCATCTGGTCCTCCTGGTTCTGCGCAGTGGACGAGCTCCCATGATGCTTTGCGCCAAATACGCAGCTCTCATGCACATGCACAAAGGAGCAGTAAAGTGTGGATTTGAAGAAAACCAAAGGATTTAAGAAGAAAAAAAGTTCAGGATGACAGGGGACACTAAAATCCTCACAAAATCCTCCTTTATGAAAGCTGTAGGTTCTCTGTCAGGTTCTCTGTCAGCTGAGGTCGAGCTGTTTTAGTTTACATTGAGTTCTATGGGACTTTTTTTTGGGTAGCGTGAATTTAGTCTGCAGCACTACGGCGCCCCCTGTGCCCATGGGTGGGTCAGCTATAAGCCTATCCAGTTATTATTATACATCCATGGGTCTTTATGAGTGGAGTTTGCATGTTCTCCACATGTCTGCATAGGTTTCTTTGGGGTGCTCCGGTTTCCCCTACCACTAAAAACATGTACAATAGGTCTGTGCGTCTTGTTATTAAACATTAGCAGTTCAGCAGGTAATACAGGCTTCTACAGTTGTGTCTTTAACAAATCTGATCCTGGGTCAGATCAGAAAGTGTAGAGTGCTCTGCGTAACAAGAGCAGGCAGCACCTCTCACAGATGTGCTGTGACATCACCAATCATCACATGTTTGACCGAGAAGGATCAGAACCTCTGCACAGTCTCCTCCTGGTCTGAGGAGGGAGCACAGGGCTCTGTCTCATGGTGCCACACATGTACCTGTGCTACATCTGAAACTGTTCCATCACAGTTTTCTTCTGTTTCTGTCACTTCTTTAGATCAGATTTTTCAGACATAAAGATAAAACAAAACCAGCCTCAGTCCAAAGTGTGAGGTCCTGTTGTTCTAGTTTATTATGTTTATTATTATTATTAATGTAGGACTGTTTTTTGTTTGTTCCTCTAAAAGACTCACAAAATACTATTTGGCCACAACTCAGTTCCGAATAATAAAAATGCAGTTCATAAAGTTTACTAGTTCTAGCGCTTCTCAAAAGTGAGTAATGGTATAAAAAAAAAACACAAATCAAATCTATTACAAAATTATAATTTGTGGCGATTTTTCAGAATTCTATTGGTAATTGAGAGCAGTCAAAATGACGGAGTCTTAGTGTTCTGCCAATGCCAGTGACAGGCCTCGTGAGTGCGACAGTCGTCTGCAGCTCATCATCGGCCTCTTTCCTTTTCCAGTTTTGATGATCGTGACCAAACTTGAGATTCGACCTCTACACGTGTTTATCTGTAGTTTAATGTTCTGTGTTGTGTCAAAGAGGCCCTCAGAGTGTAGCACAGGTACATGTGTGGCACCATGAGACAGAGCCCTGTGCTCCCTCCTCAGACCAGGAGGAGACTGTGCAGAGGTTCTGATCCTTCTCGGTCAAACATGTGATGATTGGTGATGTCACAGCACATCTGTGAGAGGTGCTGCCTGCTTTTGTTACGCAGAGCACTCTACACTTTCTGATCTGACCCAGGATCAGATTTGTTAAAGACACAGCTGTGGAAGCCTGTATTTCCTGCTGGACTGCTAATGTTTATTTTTATATTGCCTTTCACAGACCAGAATGAAAGTGGTTTACAATGTTGGTCATTAGTCTGTCACTCCACACAGAGAGTGGGGCCCGTACAGGAGGCAAAGACCTATTGATCATGTTTTTAGTGGTAGGGCAAACCGGAGCACCTGGAGGAAACCTGCAAACTCCACTCAGAAAGGCCCTGTTCCGATCGGGATTCTAACTCAGTCCCTTACTGCTAAGAAGCGAGAGTGCTATCCACTCTGCCACTGTGCCGCCCTACTACTGTTTATGACACTGTAGCTGAGTGGTTAGCGCTCTCACTTCTCATCAAGAAGGTCCTGGGTTCGAATCCCGGTCAGAACTGGGCCTTTCTGACTGGTCTGTCTGTGTAGGTTTCCTCTGGGTGCTCCGGTTTCCTCACCACTAAAACCATGTGCATTAGGTCTGAATGTCGTGAGTGAATGGAGGGTGTTTGGTCGGAGGCTTTGATGGACCAGTGTGTTCAGTGTCACCGTGTGGAGAGATTAGAAATATCTGAACATTGTGAAGCTCTTTGGCTGTAAAAATGTGCCATATAAATAACATATTACTTACTTCTGTAAATCAGCCTCAGACTTTATGGACTCTGCTCCTTTTGAACCAATGGCTTTATGTGTTTTATAAGATATGTTTAATGATGAATGGCGTTATTAAAACTAATGCATTCTGGTCCTTTGTGTCTCCAACATCTCAGTGATTCAACACATTCTCTCAGGAACACACTACTTCACTAACAATGGGAATGAACGCTGCTCCACTGGGAAAATACACCGGGAAAGTCGGTCAATGATCCCTGAGTCTGCGTGTTTCATGTGTGTTTATCTCACACTGATGGTTTTACTCCAGAATACACCTTTTTAATTAAGACAAAGTCAATTCAAAATGACAATATCTTGCTTCTTTTTATGCTAGAGTTTATTTTTGTGTAGAGTTATTATTCATGTCCTTTCTCTCATGTGCTGTGTGCTCCTCACTCTTACTGTTCTGTGACCGGTGATGCAACACTGACATTTCCCCGCTGTGGGAAAGGAGATAAAGGATCTCTCTCAGGCCTCGGGTTCTGTGTTGTGTCAGAGAGGCCCTCAGAGTGTAGCACAGGTACATGTGTGGCACCATGAGACAGAGCCCTGTGCTCCCTCCTCAGACCAGGAGGAGACTGTGCAGAGGTTCTGATCCTTCTCGGTCAAACATGTGATGATTGGTGATGTCACAGCACATCTGTGAGAGGTGCTGCCTGCTCTTGTTACGCAGAGTACTCTACAGTAAGTAAGTAAGTAAGTTTTTATTTATATACCGCCTTTTCACTGCAGATCTGAGTCTCAAAGCGGTTTACAATTGTTAATTTTGGGCATTTGTCTCTCACTCCACACAGAGATGGGAGCGGGGCCAGTACAGGAGGCACATGCTAGAACTATTGAACATATTTTTAGTGGTAGGGGAAACCGGAGTACCCGGAGGAAACCTACGCAGACACGGGGAGAACATGCAAACTCCACTCAGAAAGGCCCTGGTCCGGCCGGGATTTGAACCCAGGACCTTCTTGCTGAGAGGCGAGAGTGCTATCCACTCAGCCACCGTGCCGCCCTACACTTTCTGATCTGACCCAGGATCAGATTTGTTAAAGACACAACTGTGGAAGGCATTAAATGTATGGAGGGAAAGTTCTGAGGCTGTGAAACTCACATGGAGCTGGTAGAGCATTGGCCTTTGAGCCTGAAGGACGTGGGTTAGAGCCACCGCGAGATCTTCTCCCCCTGCTGTCGTTGTGTCCTTGGGCAAGACACTTTAATCGCTTTGCCAATAAGGAGTGTGGAAGTAATATTTTCTTCTTCTTCTTCTTCTTCTTCTTCTTCTTCTTCTTCTTCTTCTTCTTCTTCTTTCTTCTTCTTCTTCTTCTTCTTCTTCTTCTTTCTTCTTCTTCTTCTTCTTCTTCTTTCTTCTTCTTCTTCTTCTTCTTCTTCTTCTTCTTCTTCTTCTTCTTCTTCTTCTTCTTCTTCTTCTTCTTCCAGCCCTCGCTGCAGTGTATTTGTTCTACTCTGGAGGCTGTTTCTCAAAGTTAGCGTTTTCACTTGAAACATGTTGTTTACATGAAGAATAAAACCCAGGCAAGTCCAAACTCAGTCCAAATTGCGGCCCTCTGCTGCTAAAACAAAGTCATCATTGAGGCACTTTGACAGTGTCATCCAGCCAACTTCAGCTCCACCAATACAGCCATGCTACACCTTGTTGTAAACCTCAGACTCTGTGGAATCCAGTCGTTGACTCTGTTGTTATTTACTGACATTTGTGTTATAATTGTGTCACAACATTACAAATAAAATGCAGCTGTGAATCAATAAGGACGTATCATAACCCATTTTAAACTCCAGAATCCAGTCAATCCAGCTCCAATCCAGTTTTTTAAATCCAGGTCATCGGCCCCAGGTCAAGTCTGATGAACTAAAATGGCCTCTTAAAGTTTGGACACCCCGATGTAAAGGAAAGGCCAATCCTATACCAACTCTCACGTTTTACTGTCACAGCGTCTCCGTGTAAACATCAGTATCAGTCTGATGATACTTGATCCCTTCATCAGATGTGGTTTCTATCAGAGAGGACAAAGCTTCTGTTTGTTTTGTGAGTCAGGGGAGACTCGATCTAATGATCTATATATCGTGTTTCAATGATGTGTCAATAGTGATTCCCATCCGTGTGAGGAACAGTTCAGAGACTCATGCGGCAAAAGCAAAAGATGGACTTTTTCCTCGGGAAGCACGTGCAGCTATCAGAGAGCTATCAGAGAGCTATCAGAGAGACACACAGAGAGACACACAGAGCCGTCAAGACACTCGAGAACAGCTAAACCAGGACTTAACCAGGACAAAACCAGGACAAAACCAGGACAAAACCAGGACTAAACCAGGACTTAACCAGGACAAAACCAGGACAAAACCAGGACAAAACCATGACTAAACCAGGACTAAACCAGGACTGACGATGGGGGACACAGTGCTTGTGAACATTTGCCTTCAGCCTGAGTTCTCATTCCCCTGTGACTGTAAACAACTGATGCTAACGTGTGTTAGCCAACACAACAAATGTATTTATTTAAGTTAAAAAAACAAAATAAAAAAACAATCAATAATTATTGTTATCGACCCAGCCGCTCATTACATCCCCCACATGGTTTTCTGAGGTCACATGGTTTTATGAGGTCACATGGTTTTCTGAGGTCACATGGTTTTATGAGGTCACATGGTTTTATGATGTCACATGGTTTTATGAGGTCACATGGTTTTATGAGGTCACATGGTTTTATGATGTCACATGGTTTTATGAGGTCACATGGTTTTATGAGGTCACATGGTTGTTTGAGGTCACATGGTTTTCTGAGGTCACATGGTTGTTTGAGGTCACATTGTTTTCTGAGGTCACATGGTTGTTTGAGGTCACATTGTTTTCTGAGGTCACATGGTGTTATGAGGTCATGGATGGTCTTTAATATTTAACGAACCACAATTCTCTGATGCGACAAAAAGCTGAAACTCGACACTGACGCACAATGCAGCTATAATTACACTGAACCTGTGACAGCCGCGCAGACTGTTACACACTGCTCAAAGACACACAGCTACACAACACCTCCTCAACTCCTCGGAAGCTAAGCAGGGCAGGGCCTGGTTAGTACTGTGATGGGAGACCTCTGGGAACAGCACATTGGGGCGGCTGTGGCTGCAACGTGCCAAACTGTGGTTATGTCCTTGTTTATTATGAGTCTGGTGTGAGTGTGTGTGTGTGTGAGAGTGTGTGTGTGTGTGTGTGTGTGTGTGTGTGTGTGTGTGTGCGTGTGTGCGTGTGTGCGTGTGCGTGCGTGCGTGTGTGTGTGTGAATGGTTGGTGGTGGTGGGAGGAGCCGATGGCACAGACTGGCTGCCTCGGGTCTGTCAGTGTGCCCCAGGGCAGCTGTGGCTACGGTAAACACACAAGTTCTCAGTTATAAAAAGCAGTGGGAAGGAGGTCAAGGACTGAATGGGAGTCAAAAGAAGATTTGGAGCTTTGCTCTACGAAGGACTTTACAAAGTTGTCGATTCATTAAAAACAAATCAGAGAAAAAAAGTTGATTCATCTCCACTAATCGATTATTGAACAAGTTTTGACTCACATAATTCTGTATTGACTGCAGGATGAAATGACAAAGTATTTCCAATCAAACAACCCAATGTGTAAATCATTATCTCCACTTTCTCTGTTCTAAAGATCCATAAGAAAAGATATTCTATGTATATTTATATTTTTAGAGGTTTTACACAGATCCAGACCAGAGCAGAGGATGCACGGCCCCGACCAAACACATGCGGAAATCCACTGGGAAATGTTAATGAAAATGCTAATCAAGTATTCAGAATTTCACTCTGAACCAGAGCAGAGACAATGGTCCGTACCAGAGGAAGCAGCTCATCACCAACGACGACACCACCTGCTGCTGCGGACTTTAATACTACTGTTTACTGTTAACTTTTACATGTACGTGTGTATATATATGTATACTTTTTACTTTTTGGTATTTTTGGATAATGCTAAATTTGAATATGTTACAGATTAAGTGTGAGGATGTTGTGTGAAAGAGTTTGTTTGGGTACACAAAATTAATAATCAATAATAAAAATAAATAAAAAGTATGAATCTCTATTTATCAATCGTCAAATGAACTGAAATCAGAGTCGTGTGGACACAAAGTCGTCTGTAAAACTTTCACATTCAACTGTTTTTAAAATGTTGTGCTACGTTTAAGACAAAAGCAAACGATGGATGAAACATGAGCCGTATCGATCCGAACGAGACTCACCATGACTGAGTTTGAGGACGAGGCTGAAGGCGAAGGACACGACCTGAAAGACAAAAGGAAGAAGTTCTATCGTTACACTGAAGTGATCGAGAAACAGTCGGAAAAATGTGAACCCAACAAATATGGACACAGTAGAGGACGACTGAATAAATAATCACATTCTTTCTGTGGATCAGTATCAACACGATTCAACACATAAGAACCATATATTCATCTAATGTTTATAGATTTACTCCTTTGTCCCCAACGCCATCAGGCTCAATGACAAGCCACTTCATGGAGGAGGAGGAGGAGGAGGAGGAGGGGGGGATGAAGAGGAGGAGGAGGAGGAGGAGGAAGGAGGAGGAGGAGGGAGGAGGAGGAGGGAGGAGGAGGGAGGAGGAGGAGGGAGGGGAGAGCAATGGGAGAGGAGGAGGGAGAGAGGAGGAGGAGGGAGGAGCAGGGAGGAAGGAGCAGGGGGGAGGAGGAAGGAGGGAGGTGTCACTCCCGTATTCGTCCCGGAAACCGGATTTGTCCGGTCGTTCAGTTTGATCCAATGAGCAAACGCAGCAGTAGATTACGTCACCAAATCTGGACGGAAGCGGAAGTAAATATAATTAAAGCCGCAAGCGGCATCTAACGGCCCTCGCCGCACCGCGCAAAAGAGGTGGCGCTGACGCGACATTTTCCCACTGCCCTGATGGGAGCGACACTGTGCATTTTTAATTTCTATGATCAGTGATTGTGTGTCTCTATTGAAAAAGTAAACTTAATTCTCCCCATGTAACACTTGTATCAGTCAAGATATTTCATGATTCACACTTTCAGTTTACTCAAACCCAAGAGTCAAACAGTCAATTCAAATTTTGTGCAAATCGGACTTTGTATGTGCAAAAGGACGGCATTTATGTTGTACAATAGCGCCCCCTACAATTTCAATTGTTTAGTCTTATACCAAAGAACACCAAAATAATACCCTTTATGCTTGAAAAAAACTTGTGGCAAAGTTTGGTGAGTTTTTGTATTTGTTCAGTGGGTCAAATATGAGATCAAACAACAGAAAACCTAAATACCTTTATCCCCATGTAAATCTTTACTCAGCCTGTAGGGGGCGCTAATGGGCCAATGTCATTGTTCACACTGTCATGTGACCTAGGCCCAGGAGTTGAACAACCGAGTCAAGTTTAGTGCAAATCAGAGTTTGTAAATGTGGTCCTGTTTGCACATACAATCTGTGAGTGTGTCCATACAGTCTCCATTGGATAACATGGGAACTTCACACCTCTGAAGAAGATGACAAAGTCTGGGATCGCGTCTTAAATTCAGACAGAAGACATGTTTTATTGTCGATGGTAGAGACAGCACGAACACAGATACAACAGAATGCAAGTGTATTATACAGAGCGGAGGCATGGAGACCTCCAATCAGCAGCTTCCACGGTGTGCTTGTAGCTTGGCCTTCAGATAGACAAAACAAGGGAAAAGTACTGGCTTCTGCACATTGATAGAATGATGAGTTTAACTTTAACAAAAGTTGCTTAAAAGTGTTATGAAATCTCACACCTCTCTATGAAAATAACCACACTTTGGGAGTCTGTCACGCTCAGACCGTTTGACTAATTAAAGTTCTATATGCAACTATTGATGGTCCATGTGTTGAGACCATGTGGAGCGATTTTCAGCCAAATTAGTGAAACGGCTGCGGCTGGTTTGATGTTTGAGCGAGGTGTACTTTTCAGAGATTTAACAATTTTCCCATGGACACAGACAGGGGAGTGTTGGTCGTCGCCACGGCAACAGGGTAAAAAATAATCATATGTTGTCATTGACTTTTTGAATCCAGATGACAAAACAGAATTATGTGCAAAATTTAACATTTTGACAAAACAAAATTTTAAAAAGCCCATGTAAAACCCTAACATGGTCTGTAGGGGGCGCTAATGAGCCAATTTCAATATTTCAACTTTCAAATGACCTAGACCCTGGAGCTGAACAATGGATCAAAATTTTGTGCAAATCCGGTTTGGTTTGTGCAAACGGGAGCAAATTTACTTTTGTCAGAAATTGGAAAAAAAATGTCACATTTTGCCGCTCCGCTGCTCGGACAACGTTTAACTGATCCAAATTCTATATTCAATAATTGATGGTACATGTGTTTAGACCATGTGGAGCAATTTTGAGACAAATCGGTGAAACGGCCGAGGAGGAGATCATTTCCAACCGACAGGTGTGAAAAATATCAATTTTCATTTTTCCATTTCTTATTGAAATTAATGAGCTCCCTGTTTGTCAGGGGGCGGAGCCATAATAACTTTTTTTTCATGTCTTGACCTGAGGAACATGTGTACCGAATTTCGTGGCTCTACGACAAACTTGACCTCCGGCCCGCTCCCATAGGCGCAATGTAAACTGACTTTTGTAGGGGGCGCTGTTTGGGCATTTTTTTCTCCCATAAAAATAAACACCAAAAAAATTCATTTTTCGCCAGTTCTGATTTTTGGGCAAAATTTCACAACTTTTCATCAATGTTCAGGGGGTCAAATTAAGCCTCAAAGTACAGAAGAAAAAAGAAATTAAAGCCGCAAGCGGCATCTAACGGCCCTTGCCGCACCACGCAAAGGAGGTGGCGCTGACGCGCCATTTTCCCACTGCCCCCGACGGGAGCGACACTGTGGATTTTGAATGACTATGATCACTATGTGTGTCTATTGAAAAGGTAAACCTCATTCTCCCCATGTAATACTTGGATTAGTCTGTAGGGGGCGCTAATGCAGCAATTTCATGGTTCACACTTTCAGTTTACTCAAACCCGAGAATGGAACAGTCAATTCAAATTTTGTGCAAATCGGACTTTGTAGGTGCAAACGGAAGGCATTTATGTTGTACAATAGCGCCCCCTACAAATTCAAATTTTTAGTGTTATTCCAAAAAACACAAAAATAATACACTTTATGCCTGAAAAGAACTTGTTGCAAAGTTTGGTGAGTTTTCGTGTTTGTTCAGTGGGTCAAATATGAGATCAAACAACAGAAAACCTAAATACCTGTATCCCCATGTAAACCTTTACTCAGCCTGTAGGGGGCGCTAATGGGCCAATGTCATTGTTGACACTGTCATGTGACCTAGGCCCAGGAGTTGAGAAATCGAGTCAAGTTTAGTGCAAATCAGAGTTTGTAAATGTGCTCCTGTTTACACATACAATCTGTGAGTGTGTCCCATGGATGTATTCTATTAACTGGATAGGGTATTACTAGCTTGTAGCTGAATAACTCACGTGCTCAGGGGATTCTCGCGGTACTGCAGACTGAACCAGACTGAACCAGACTAAATTCACGTGGGCTACCCAGAAATTTTCCCCATAGAACTCAATGCATATTAAAACTGCTCGACCTCAGCTGACAGAGAACCTACAGCTTTAATAAAGATCGGATTTTGTGGGGATTTTAGTGTCCCTTGTCATCCTGAACTTTTTTTCTTCTTAAATCCTTCGGTGTTTAAATCCACACTTTAGTGCCACAAACTCTGCTCCTCTGGCTCTCGCTCTAACTCCCGCTCTGATGAACTGCTCTGATTGGTCAGAGCGCGGCCGAGCCCCTCTGTGCACGTGCGTGAGACCCGGTGTGAGACCCAGACACGCGTGTTTGACGCAATGCATTATGGGAGATCATCCACTGCACAGAACCGGGAGGACCAGACGATGCCCAAATACAGGCGAGTTTCCCATAGATCTTTGAGAGTTTCAGGCAACTTCCGCTAATCTTTCAGCCCCCATGCCGTCACAAAGCGCCACTGAGCACAACCATTCATTTGAATAGGGCGCCATCTTGGATCGCCGGGGCTTGGTGTGTCCACACAGTCTCCATTGGATAACATGGGAACTTCACACCTCTCTATGAAAATAACCACATTTTGGGAGTCTGTCACGCTCAGACCGTTTGACAAATTCAAATTCTATATTCAACTATTGATGGTCCATGTGTTGAGACCATGTGGAGCGATTTTCAGCCAAATTAGTGAAACGGCCGCGGCTGGTTTGATGTTTGAGCGAGGTGTACTTTTCAGAGATAAAATGATTTTCCCATAAACACAGACAGGGGAGTGTTGGTCGTTGCCATGGCAACAGGGTAAAAAATAATCATATGTTGTCATTGACTTTTTGAATCCAGATGACAAAACAGAATTATGTGCAAAATTTCAAACATTTTGACAAAACTAAATTTGAAAAAGCCCATGTAAAACTTTAACATGGTCTGTAGGGGGCGCTAATGAGCCAATTTTAATTTCCATTAATTAAAATTGGACCATTTTCATTTTAACTTCCTGTTGAATAAATGCACTGCCATCTTGTGGATATAACACGCAACTGTAAATTACCGGAGTAAACTCAGAGAAAACACAAAAGTGAAACCGATTATTATTGAATTAAATATTGCAATACTTTTGTTCTACTGTATCTATTTGTAGCACGCAAAATATCCCGATACCGGAAAGAATCGATTTCTCCTCCACCACATTTGTTTCCAAAGAAAGGAAGCAAAAACACAAAACAACATTTCTTAAACACACAGTACAAAAAGTATACACTGTAGGAGGATTGTCTACTTCCAGGTGGATCATCAAGACTATTGGTCCTCCCAACTGTCAATCATTCTGGTGATACGTGCTCGTCCAATAAGACCAGAGAGGGCGGTTCTTTCCTAAAAATCCTCATATATACCTTTCATATACACAATTTAGTTTTCTTATTGTAAAGTGTAAAAGAAAACATGTGACCTAAGGTACTACTACTACTACTGCTACTACTGCTGCTGCTACTACTACTGCTACTACTGCTACTACTGCTACTACTACTACTACTGCTACTACTACTACTACTCCTACTACTACTACTGCTACTGCTGCTACTACTGCTACTACTGCTACTACTACTACTACTGCTACTACTACTACTACTACTACTACTACTATTAGTATTAGATAGCAATATGGCCTACGTGCAGGACTGTACAAGGACTCTACAAGGACTCCATGTTATGACTATGATTTGACTGTCTCTTTGTGACA